AAATGTGGTATTTACCCTGTAAGTACAGGTAACAAGGAGGTAACAAGAGAGGAACAAAGCTTCACTTTAATATACAACCCTCAAATGTGGTATTTACCCTGTAAGTACAGGTAACAAGGAGGGAACAAATACTGTATTTACCCTTTAACTACAGGGAACAAAGAGGGAAGAAGCTGAACTTTAACATACTAGTGTATACTTGAACACTAAGAACAGAGTAAACTACAGCAGCAGTTTTTATTGATTGAAGACCAAATTACTAGATTTTTCTATAAAGCATCAGCTATACATTTACTGAAATGCAACAGTTAGCCCCCCTGTGCAACAGCAGTAAAGATGCGAGCCTGTTTTAATCTGCATTGAACCCTGACAGTAGGCCTATGTCATGCAATGTTATTTGTTGATAGTGAGTTATGGAGACATTGATGGCTTTGGTGAGATCGACGAGTAAACATAAGGTAAGTAGTGTATGGAAATATATTTGATATTGAATTGCAGATTTAAAATACATACAGTATACAATAAGCGTTCATAATTTCACAGGTTGTAAACCTTTTATTCATTAAACACCCCATATAAAACCCAAGCACTGAATAAGAGTACTAATGGACTCACGCAGGTGCATATACAGTACATTTGCAGATAGCAATAGGTTGTCACCATCCTTGCATAATTCTTTATATGTATACAATACTTGAAGAAATGTACATTGTAAACTTAATATACTTCTTTGCGTGATGTATATCTTATTGTTACTCCCCTTTTACGCAAACATTATGGTTTGTTCTTTTGCAATTTAAAGAAAAGTGCACCGTTATTTAACTGTACTTAAGCGGTACCTTTCATGCTAAATATCTGGTTGTTACCCCCTTATTACCCGAGCATTACAGTTTGTTCCCTTATACTTACGTAAACGTTATTTATACTTACACTATAGGTACAGAAAAGTACACCGTTATTTCACTGTACTTACGCGGTAATTTTTGTGATGAACATCTGGTTGTTACCCCCTTTTTACCCAAGCATTACGGTTTGTTCCCTCATACCTACACATACGTTCATTATACTTACACAGTACGTACAGAAAAGTACACTGTAATTTCACTGTACTTACGCGGTACTTTGCGGGTTGTAAAAGAAAGCGTTACCTAATTTTTTTATTAGGACAGTGAGTAAGGTCTGACTTTGTTTAGACAAAGGTCCTGTCTATTAACATAAATAATGTACAGTATAGAATACAGAGTCATGGTGTAGTGAAAAAAAAGAGTTAATATTGTGTATGAGTCCCATGAGCTTGGAGGACTGCATCCACACATCTCTGCAATGACTTAAATAACTTATTAATAAAGTCATCTGGAATGGCAAAGAAAGCGTTCTTGCAGGACTCCCAGAGTTCATCAAGATTCTTTGGATTCATCTTCAATGCCTTCTCCATCTTACCCCAGACATGCTAAATAATGTTCATGTCTGGTGACTGGGCTGGCCAAGTATGCAGCTCCTTGACCTTCTTTGCTTTCAGGATCCTTGATGTGGAGGCTTAAGTATGAGGAGCGCTATCCTGTAATGTAATGGGCAGCACAAATGTTTTGATACCTCAGGCTGTTGATGTTGCCATCCACTCTGCAGATCTCATGCACACCCCCATACTGAATGTTAACCCAAACCATGCTTTTTCCTTCACCAAACTTGACTGATTTCAATGAAAATCCTGGGTCTATGATGGTTCCAATAGGTCTTCTGCAGTGTTTGTGATGATTGGTATGCAGCTCAACAGATGATTATTCAGAAAAATCTACCTTCTGCCACTTTTCCAAGTGATCAACTAGAAGTTTTTTCTATTATTTGTTGCCATTACAACTATTACTTTAGGTTTTTGTTTTCATTAATTTACTAGTTTAAGCTCACCCACCAGTGTGGAGCACACTCAGAAATGCACAATGTTTTCCAAGTAAGAAGTGCTTCTTGAGTTTTTTTATTGGGACAACTTAATTGTATTATGTTCAATCCACTAAAAAAAATAAAATAAAAAATTCAAACAATTAAGTGACCAATTTGTTTTGAGACAACATAAAGAAATTGTTGTGTGGAAACCAGCATTTTTTGTTTTACAAAGTGCGTCACCTACAAGTGGTTTGTCATGCCCACTCACCCGTGTGAAACACACTAATAATAAAAGCCGAATGGAATGTTTTCACTCGATTGAATGAGTGTTATCAGTGGTTGTCAGCTGATAGATATGGGTTAGTAGGGGCCTTCTGCACCTGGTCAGAAGGCTGTCATCATTTACCCACATGGTTAATCATAAATCATATATGGCTGTGGCCGGAAGTTAGCGAGAATTATTCATATTATTTATTAAATGTAATACTACCCCGACTCTAAACCCAACCATCACAGTAATGTAAAAACAGATCTGGATCTGGAGTCTTCTTTATTACTGGCCCATATCTAACAGCCGCTCATGCGCTGAAACAAGAGTAAAGGTATTTTCTGTTACTTTTATGACACGAGGTGTCGACATGCAGTGTATAATATGATGATGAACTGATTTTGACTGAGTATGGCTTTAAAGCAGAAAGTAGCGATAGAGACAGGTAGGTAAGACTTACATTAAAACAACCATTTTTTTTAGAATGTACATGTTTAATCGTCCTTTTTCTATAACTATTTTATTTTTTTTTTTAGAAAGATAAAGTGTTAATGAAAAAGTGTCTGGTACACACACGGAGAGGACAGAGTGTGTCCAACAAGTGCAATACAGATTCAAATATAATGTTAAGAGAATGAACTCACAGTTAGAATTTTTGAGCTTATAAAATAATAAAAAAACAATAAGAAGCAATGATAATAAGAAATTGCTATGCATTCATTTTTCAGGTCATTTGGTTTCAAATGGTCTGACATTTGCAGGTTAGTGATGGGCAGGTTTAGCCTGATGTCAGTGTTATTCTGTCTGAGATGTGCAGCTGTGGGCTCTTCAGTTTGAAGTCAGTGAGTGGAAGCAGTTCAGCACAGATGTCTAATCACACCTGCAGACTCTCACAATCACTGAAATACAGCTGTCTGGAGCACAGGCTTCAGGTCAGCCTATAATTACACTGCTTTTCAGTCTCAGAGCCATGAAGAGCAAACACCCATCACAACCATCAGAAACCATATGGTGATAAGAAAAAAATCTCACTAATGTGGGGGAAGCTAACTACTGTAATTCCACCTGAAAGTGACTAGCAAAGAAGGTGCAACTTATCTTATTGAGTGTGACGTAACTTTTACTTAAATAAAAGGGGTAGTTCATCCAAAAATAAAAAAAATTAATCACTATTTATTCACCGTAAAGTGGTTCCAAACCTTTCTGAGTTTTTTTTTATCCAGTTGGACACAACTCCGGTTGATATTTTGAAGCTGAAAACCTGTAACCATTGACTGCCATTCATTCATTCATTTTCCTTCAGCTTAGTCTCTATTTCAAAGGTCGCCATAGCGGAATGATCCACCAACTATTCCAGCATATGTTTTACGCAACGGATGCCCTTCCATTCTTTCATTCATTTTTCTTTGGGTTAGTCTCTATTTCAGAGGTCGCCACAGCGAAATGAACCACCAACTATTCCAGCATATGCTTTATGCAGTGCATGCCCTTCTATTCTTTCATTCATTTTCCTTCAGCTAAGTCTATTTCAAAGGTTGCCACACCGGAATAAACAGCCTACTATTTCAGCATGTTTTACGCAGTGGATGTCCTTCTATTCATTTGTCTTTGGCTTAGCCTCTATTTCAGAGGTTGCCACAGCAGAATTAACCACCAACTATTCCAGCATATGTTTAGCGCAGCTGATGCCCTCCCATTCATTAATTCATTTTTCTTCGGGTTAGTCTTTATTTCAGAGGTTGCCACAGCGGAAAGAACCGCCAACTCATTCATTCATATTTTTTGGATAAGTCCCTTTATTAAGCTGGGGTCACCACAGCGGACTGAACTGCCAACAAGTCCAGCATATGTTTTACGCAGTAGATGTCATTCTATTCATTAATTCATTTTCTTTTTGGCTTAGTCCCTTAATTAAGCTGGGGTCACCACAACAGAATGAACAGCCAACTATTCCAGCGTATGTTTTACACAACGGATGCCCTTCCATTCATTCATTCATTCATTCATTCATTCATTCATTCATTCATTCATTCATTCATTCATAAATTCATTTTCCTTCGGCTAAGTCTCTCTTTCAGAGGTTGCCACAGTGGAATGAACCACCAACTATTCCAGCATATGTTTTACACAGCGAATGCCCTTCCATTCATTCATTAATTTTCCTTCGGCTTAGTCTCTATTTCAGAGGTTGCCACAGTGGAATGCACCACCAACTATTTCAGCATATGTTTTATACAGCGAATGCCCTTTCATTCATTCATTCATTCATTCATTCATTCATTCATTCATTCATTCATTCATTTTACTTCACCTTAGTCTCTATTGCAGAGATGGCCACAGTGGAATGAATCTCCAACCGTTGAACCGTTTTACACTGGATGCCCTTCCAGTTGCAACCCAGCATTGGAAAACAGCCATAAACTCTCATTCACACACACACTCATACTCCACACAGAAATGCCAACGAACCCAGCCAGGACTCGAATCAGCGACCTTCTTGCTGTAAGTACTAACCACTGAGCCAACATGCCACCCTCATTGACTTCAGTAGAAAAAGACAAATACAATGAAAGTCAATGGTTACAGGTTTTCAGCATTCTTCTGAATATCTTCTTTTGTGTTCAGCAAAAGACAGACAGGTTTTGAACAATTCAAAGGAGAGCAAATCATGACAGAATTTTCATTTTTGAGTGAACTACCCCTTTAACTTTAATTTATGTTCCAGAATGCTCTGATAACTATTACTTTCAGTCTTTTAACCTGCTTATTCTTACTAACCCCACATTTTAACGGTAGAAACACGTTTCCACATGCATTTATGTGTGTTGATATCTGTAAGTGTATAGCTCACCATTGTCTCCACCATGTTGGCTTTGTTGTTTCTCAGCGTCTTGACTGTGTGAAAAACGTCCACGATGTTCTGCTGCTGGATCATCTCACAGATGCTACAGATGGCACAAAACGTCCCGCTGCGTCCTCCGCCCGTCCTGAAGAGATCCACAACAGAAAAAAACTCATCAAGCATCCCGTCGTAACAGAAATATGCAGAGTTAATATCCCAGAAAAATCACAGCTTGACTTGTGCTACATTTCTGAAGATCTCAGGGCTCAAAAGCTACACGGGGGATTTTATTTGCATGTTCAAATACTTTCTCATATCTCAATTTAATGTGCAGCCATTGCTTCAGAAAATGCAAACACTGATGGCATATTATGCAGGATTTCCTAAGACTTGATGTTGATATCTGCTTGAACAGACATTAAAACAAACAGCCAGCACTGATCACGGGTCAGTTTTACACCTGATTAGTATCAGTACAATGACGTGACGTGATCGCTTGTTGAGCGAATGGTCTCACATTACTGTGACAGTTTTTTTTCACAAGATTTCTCTGGGGAAGCTGCTCTGCATTCAACAGCTGAACGTTTTTGACAGTGACAGGAAAGTAATGAAGTTGTCAGATCTTTTGTATCTCTCCGGCTTTAATTTGCGACACTGATAAGATTGTCCTTGACTCAAAGGCTGTGCAGTTTTGTCGTTCTTTTAAAGTTGCAGTTTTAATCTATGACTGTATGGACTGGCTTGAGGCGCTATGAAATACACATTGCGTGGGATCTAAATGTGCTGCATTAAAAAGTGTCGTAATGTATATAGAAATCATTGTGATATTAAGTATATACACTCACTAGCCACTTTATTAGGTACACCTGTCCAACTGCTGGTTAACGCATATTTCTAATCAGCCAATCACATGGCAGCAACTCAATGCATTAGGCATGTAGACATGGTCAAGACAATCTGCTGCAGTTCAAACCGAGCATCAGAATGGGGAAGAAAGATGATTTAAATGACATTGAACGTGGCATGGTTGTTGGTGCTAGACGGGCTGGCCTGAGTATTTCAGAAACTACTGATCTACTGTGATTTTTACGCACAACCATCTCTACGGTTTACAGAGAATGGTCTGAAAAAGAGAAAATATCCAGTGAGTGGCAGTTCTGTGGGTGCAAATGCTGTGTTGATGCCATAGGTCAGAGGAGAATGGCCAGACTGGTTTGAGCTGATAGAAAGGCAACAGTAACTCAAATAACCACTTGTTACAACCGAAGTGTGCAGAAGAGCTTCTCTGAACGCACAACATGTCGATCCTTGAGGTGGATGGGCTACAGCAGCAGAAGACCACACGGGGTGCCACTCCTCTCAGCTAAGAACAGGAAACAGATGCTACAATTGGCACAGGCTCACCAAAATTGGACAATTGAAGATTGGAGAAACGTTGCCCGGTCTAATCAGTCTTGATTTCTGCTATGACATCCGAATGGTAGGGTCAGAATTTGCCATCGACAACATGAAAGCATAGATCCATCCTGCCTTGTATCAATGGTTCAGGCCAGTGGTGGTGGTGTTATTGCGTGGGGGATATTTCCTTGGCACACTTTGGACCCATTAGTACCAATTGAGCATTGTGTCAACGCCACAGCGTAGTATTGAGTATTGTTGCTGACCATGTCCATCCGTTTACGACCACAGTGTACCCAACTTCTGATGCTACTTCCAACAGGATAACGCATCATGTCAGAAAGCGCGAATCATCTCAGACTGGTTTCATGAACATGACAAAGAGTTCACTGTACTCAAATGGCCTCCACAGTCACCAGAACTCATCCAATAGTGCACCTTTGGGATGTGGTGGAACGGATGTGCAGCTGAAAAATCTGCAGCAACTATGTGATGCTACAATGTCAATATGGACCAAAATCTCTGAGGTGTTTCCAGTACCTTGCTAAAGCTAAGCCAAGGAGGATTAAGGCAGTTCTGAAGGCAAAAGGGGTCCCTAATAAAGTGGCCTGTAGGTGTACATAGTACATTCACATGGTTATGCCTTTTTTCCTGATTTACATTCATCCACAGTCAAAAAAACATGATCAAACAAAACAAAAAAAAAATGTCTTATTGGACAAATGATTAGCATTATTAGTCAGAAACCAAATCATTACCATATTTTGGTTATACATTTCATGAAAGTAATAACCCAAGAAAACACTCGAGAGATGTCAGAATTAATTATAACATAAAACATGCTGGGTTATTTCAGCCTGATCTCATGAGAAAACGTAAGTACTTAACATTTTGTCAGTTTAGTGGCAAATTCTTATGAATTAATTCGGGTTCAGTTGAATGGAAATGCACAACTTTAAAAAGATGTGTGGCTGCCAACCCCAGCCCTAAACCCAACCGTCATTGGAGGATGAGCAAGTCGTACCAAATTGTACGAATGAGATCATATGAATTCATACATATAAGCCACTAAATCTAAAAGTTACAAATTGTCATGAGATTGTGTTGGTTACTTCAAAACAACTCTGGTTAAATTTGAGCAAACTCAACCATAAAGTTATTTTTTATTAAATTAGATTTTCAACCCAGTGGTTGGGTTTCGCCAATATTTGACCTAAAGTTTGTAGAAACAGCCCACTATTTTTTAAAAGTGCATTTCTTAGAATAACACAGCAACTGCAACAAGTGCCGTGTCTCATTTCAGGGCTGAATCCTCCAAAGGACGCATTTAAAGGACGTTTGCATCATTACGACACGATGCAGGCTGTTTCATTTCGAACAAATTCGAAGACTCTTTTAAATTCAGCCTCCAAATGCATCCTTCGCTTCGCAGGTAATGAAGGATTCCACTGATGGATCCTTTATGGCCAACAACATCCCAAGATTTATTGCGCACTGATAACGGCAGGATGTTTTGTAAAAGAAAATTTAATTTAAAATGTATGATTTAGGTTTCAATTTACTTCGCTATCTAACTACACAAATGTCAAAAACAAAAAGACTGAAATTTCTTACTAAGGAGTGATTTTACAGACTATAGTTTAGATGTTCATGTGTACTTGTATTGTCGAGGTATGCAGCCTCTGAAAAGATACAGTGCTGACATTATACTACTACTTGTTTATGAATATTGTCCTATCAAATCTGCTCCTCATAGCGTTTCATTCCTGCTCATATGCTGGTGTGTGATGATATCTGTGTGTGGTGGAGGTCAGACTCACAGGCAGTGGACGACTGTACGTCCATCTCCTCCATCATACTGCTCCTGCCATTTGGCCAGTCGTCTGACCAGCTGCAGGATGGAGCGTTTGGACAGCGGCGTGTCTCTGTACGCAGGCCAACCGATGAACTGGAAATGCTGGACCAGCCGGTAGCCGTCTTGAGGCTGGAAACAGGACAGCAAAACATTTATCCAGAAGCCATTAAAGGGATACTTCACCCAAAACTGAAAATACTGTCATCATTTACTATTTAAATTTACTTAAATATTTCAAATATGGTGGACTTTCTCTCTTTTGTTGAACACAAAAAGAGATATTGTGAGGAATGCTGGAAAGCTGCAGCCTTTGACTTCCATAGATTTTTGTTGTTGTTGATTGTTTGATTCTACTATGGATGTCAATGGCTGCTGGTTTCCAACATTCTTCAGAATATAATTTCCACAAGATAAAAAAAAATCTTTCTGATCAATTCAGTCTCATCTTAAAGTTTTTAAGGTTTAAATAAGAGGCTACAATGAATTTTCATTTTACTAGTACCGTCTATCGTATATATATATTTATGCTTTTTTTGTTGTCTTCATCTATGTTAAGCTGTTTTGACACAATCCACACTGTAATAAGTGCTATAGAAATAAAGATGAATTGAACTGAAATACGCAACATGCAGCTCTACAAAAAAATTATTAGTTCATTACAACAAGCAATAATTTTACTTAGCTTAGGAAAGCAAATTTGGCTTAATTAAATTCATGCAATTAAAAAAAATCTGAGTGTAAAAAAATTGCAAAAGAATAATAAAGTAAATTCGACTTTTTTCGGTGTATGAAGTAAACTACAAAGCAATGCTAGAGAAGTCAACGATGATTAATCACCTCAAATTAGCTGAAGTCTTGTTCTATAGGTTTCTATCTGCACTAAAACTGGTGACTTTACTAAAAATTAAATCTTTTAAACCCTTTGAATTACATCAAGGTTGACTTTTTCTCAACTTGGGGCTCTTTTTTGATGATCCAGGCGCAAAGTCCAAAGCGCAGGGCGCAAAAGCATTAAGGCCGTGTCTAAATTCACTTTTGCTATTTTAAGGATGGAAAAATCCGCCTTGAGCCATGGCGCATGGTCTAACAGGGTTGAGCTTATTCTCTTAATGAGTTATAGGTGTGCTTTGAGAATAAACCAATCAGAGTCTCATCTCACATTCCCTTTAAGAGTCAGTTGAGTCACACATAGCGCATTTGCTATCTACATGACAGACTTTGTAAATGGAAAAACTGAGCGTTTTACTACAGAGAAAATGGTTAAACAGAGCATCTGTAGTGCGAGAATGAGAGATTAGCCTCCTCCTTCTTTACTTTCACTTTCTGAAAGCCTGACAGGTGGGCAAATCTAAGCTTGTTTTTAATAAACCAAATATAAATATGCATATAATAAATAATACTGCTAATAATAATAACATTATACAAAAGCAAATTGTCATGAATAAACAAAAAAAAAAGCCCCCCCCCCCGTGATGAAGAAGGCATGAAGGCAGTGGTTTTGATATTTATGCAGGCTAGAAAATAATAATTTTTGTAATATTTTAATTCTTTTAAATATTTTACATTTTTAAAGATTTGCTTATTGCTGTGCACCCTGTGTGTATTAAACAATGTGTAAGCGAGGTGCACAACTAACGTGCTCTGTGCTGGGCTTTAGACTTGCCTTAATCTGGTCTATTGTGCAGTCTATTATAGTTCCTCAAAATAGCAACGCACCAGCAATGCGCCTTTACATGCCTCCTTTTTAAGACCAGAACGCCTATGGGCGCACATATAAGCACAAATGCATTTGCTATTTAAACCGCGTGCTGCAAAACGTCAAAATGACCCTTACGTCCAGCTGAAACTAACAAACAACAGTTGTGTCGCGCCTTGCGCCGGCTGTATGATGGGGCCCATGGTCTCAAACAACCAAGATACCAAAGTCTGAAATTCAGAGACATCTCAGTTTTAACTCTTGATATCATTTTCTTCTATGCCAAAATGTGACCCCAGAACACTAAGTGAAGTTTCATAAACTAATTTCGAGAGGAGCACGTGATATAATCAACTTCAGCTGATCCCCATCGCTAATCATTAGCTAGTCTATCAGAGCATTCCAAAACTACTATATATATCCTGCCTAAACTTCATTCCTTATCTCCGTTTTCGGAACCTAGCACATACATGCCTAACCAACCAGTATCGCTCATTAGCTAGAGCACGGGGCAATCGAGAAACACCTGATCTCACACCCCTCCTAATGCTCATTGACCAGGCGGGAACCTTGGGCTCATCTATCTCCGAGCTCAGGGTTCTCTCCCGGGACATCATGCCAAACCTGCTATCATAGTTGAGCATTATCTAAGTGTGAACTCTTGAAAAAATCTGAATTTTTCAAAAAATTCAATTAAAAACAATCTGAAAGCGGAATAAATAAGTTTTCCATAAATATTTTAGTTAGTCTGTAGGAATATGATAATATCTGGTTTATATAATATATATAATGGTTAGCAATGCACATACTAATCAAAAATGACATTTTGATATTTATGGTAGAAAATTTACAAAATATCTTCATAGAACATGATCTTCTAACACAATCTCCCGCCAAATGTGTAACTTTTGATTTAGTGGCTAATTCGCATGAATTTGAACAATCTTTTTCATACAATTTAGTACAAGTTGCTCATCCTCCAATGAAGGTTTAGGAGCGGGTTTGGGTAATGCTTCCTTTTTAAAATCGTACAATGAAATTATGAGAGTTTTCCGGGAAAAACAGGAGTGTTGGCAGGTATGCTCACACATATACTCTGCACTCTGAACACTTCAATAATGTTGATAAGCCATGGTGAGCATTTCGCTCTATATCGCGCAGAATAGCTTCATGCTAGGGAGGCTTTCCTTCCTGTTTTGATGTTTTATTGCTTGCTTTTTAGCATCACTGCAAGAATTGAGATGCTGTGAGTGTAATATATATGCAGGACAAAACTCAATTACCACAGCACCGTGCAGGGGTGTTAATTATAAGGTTGAGAATTCAATTAATTCTCAGTTATAGGTTTACTTACAAAAAACGCAAAAAATTAAAAGTAGACTTTAGTAGAAGCCATCCTGTAAGATATACAGATTAAAAGAGCTACAAAATGAGAATGAAAAGCAGTTCATTTGTGAGCCTTGATTACAATACTTAGTCTTATGCTGCAATTGCCAAAAATACATTGTATGAGCCAAATTATTGATTTTTATTAATGCCAAAAATGATTACAATATTAATTATACATTAAAAGGGGTCATATTATGGTATTGGGGGTCTCCACCAATAGGCTGATATGTGTGCAAGGTCAAAAAACACTTTTATTGTTTTATAATATGCATTTATTTTTACCTAATTATCCCAGCGACAACCATATGATTAATTCAGTGATTCATTTGTTCCCAAAACCAAACAGAGATGTCAGCTGGATACTACAGTCAGACCGGATCAGCTAAATGAGAGTCATATTACACACAATTTGCCATCGATGGAGCCATTTCATGGCAAATTTGTGATGCTGTGGCACTTATTTATTTTGTGCCGCTATGCTGCGCCGGCACTGATTAGCTACCCGGTAAACCTCGCCTGTCACCAGCGGTTAAAGAGAATGAGAGGGAAGAAAGGAGAAGGCGGGATGAGTGTTTGACGCTGGGAACTTGTCAAGCTTCAGTAATGTCTGCTAATGTGCACCAACACCACACACATGGAAAAGAAGAAAGAGAAAAACATGACGATCTGCTGCACATAACCCAACCACGGCTTCCACGACCTCTGGCAGAAATAGCGCTCAAATATTTATGCTCATGCATATGTGTCTGGCAAAACGAATGGGTGGTGAGATGTGCTGAATGCTGAAATCTTTGAGGATTGAGGATGACTATATGGTGGCGCCACTTTTTGGCCTAATGCAATTTCTCACATCACTAACTCAGGGTCATAATCGCAGCTGCTGTTGATTTACTGTCGCATTAGGAGTCAAAGTCAAAGTGACTTAAGTGAATTTTTATCTCTTCGTGAGCTGTAGGATTTTTATTTTAGTGAGTCACAGTGTGGATGCTTTGAAGAGAAGTACTGTATATAAGGACATTCGGGGTGTTCAACTTGGCTGATCTGTTGGGGTTCAGAATTGGAAAGCTGATTTGAAAAACATTTTCTGTTTGGTGCTAGATGGTGGTAGTGGTACAGACTACGAACGCTAAAATTGAAAGTGTATTTTTTGACATATAAAGACATTACTGGTTGTCAGATTGTTTGACACTGACACTAGCAGGAATAGTTTTGAGATGTGAACTGTTGCTATGGTTTCTCCTTCAGGCAAATGTGACTTGTTTATAAGCATCTATTTAGAAGCAGGTAAAAATACACATTATCTTATAAAATAACCTTTTGTTTTGATACTTTGAAGTTTGAAAAGTGTCTTATGAAAATGGTATTTTAATAAAAAAAGTTGTATATTACAAAATAAATAATATGCAATTCTTTATACAAAATATATCTCAAGATAATATGCGACTCTGGACCACAAAATCATTCATAACTGACAAGATAGGATATGAATTTGCCTAGATGTCACATGCAAAAATATTGAAACATTGAGAAAATCACTTTAATTTGTCTAAATATAGTGATTAGCAAAGATTCTGATCACTAATCAAAGTCAGTTTGAGATCCACTTATGAAAATGATTATTTTAATAAAAAATTGTATATAACAAAATAAGGCTGCACGGTGGCACAGTGGGTAGCACATTCGCCTCACAGCAATAAGGTCGCTGGTTCGAGCCCCGGCTGGGTCAGTTTGTTCTCCCCGTGTTCATGTGGGATTCCCCAAAAACGGAAGTCCAAAAACATATAGGTGAATGGGGTAGGCTAAATTGTCTGTATTGTATGTGTGTGAATGGGTGTGTGTGGATGTTTCCCAGTGATGGGTTGTGGCTGGAAGGGCATCCACTGCGTAAAACATATGCCGGATAAGTTGGCTGTTCATTGCGCTGTGGCGACCCCAGATTAATAAAGGGAATAAGTTGAAAAGAAAATGAATGAATGAATGAATGAATGAATGAATGAATAAATGACAAAATAAATAATATCCTATTATTTATACAAAAATAAATCTCAAGACTGTATGTGACCCTGTACAACAAATCCATCTATAAGTTTCATTTTATTTTATTTTAATGGACATTTATAAATCACATGGAGTCTAAATGAATAAGTGTTCCATTGATGCTTGGCTTATTAGGGTAGTATAGTATAAGATTTGGCTGATATACAACTACTTAAACATGTGGACATGGTGCAAAAAAAAAAAAAAAAATCACATTAAAAGTCCCTAAGAAAACAAAACTAACCGCATTGTTGTTTGCTCACATTGCTAGTTTTAATGTGAACAGCTCATCTCTGCGTGTCATCAAGAAAATAAATAGTTTGCCCTTCTTATCCATTATTGATATGTGAAAATTCACTTCCTGTTTGTTTTCAGTTAAACTGTATTGTAAATTGAGGAGTCTGTTAGGTTGTAATAACTCTCCCCAAACCCTTTTCCCAATCTTTCTGAATGAAATACCAACTTTACTACACCTAATCAGCAGTAGAACAAGTAAAACAAGCCACACCCACTGTTTTCTCATTTAATATTATGTTTCTCTAGGAACTGTTACAATATGGAAAAAATAACGGTTGCAGCCTCCAGTTCATGGGGACTTCAAGTTATCAGCAAAGCACATTACTAATTCAAAAATTAAGTTTGTATTTATTTCCAGTAGAAAAATATGATATTCTAAAGATCTTTAATGCTTAATACAGTATGTATTTATAGCTATTGCAAAAATATAAACACAGTTCTGTGGTCCAGAATCACATATATAAAATGAGGTAAGGATTCATTAAAATGATAGAAAATGAAAATGAATGAATCAATGCATTTTAACATTATATTCATCAAAACAATTAAAAATTATAGACGTCTTCCATGCAGGCCCAAACTGTTAAGATAATGTATATAAAATAATTTAGGGCCCTATCATACACCCGGCACAATAAGGAGCAAAATGTGTATGGCGTGATTTGTTGCTTTTTTCAGACCAGCGCAACTGTAATTTTCATGTTTTGCACTTGTTGATTAAATAGCAAATTCATGTGTGCCCCTTTGTGGACTCATGGGTGTTGTGGTCTAAAAGGAGGTGTGTTAAGGTGCATTGTTGGTGCATTGCTATTTTGAGGAACTGAAATAGACTGCGCCATTGTGGGTCCAAATGATAACACATTGCTTAATACACATAGGATGAACACACAAATATCTTCACATATTTAAAAAAAATGTTACAAAAATTATAATTTTTTACATAAATATAAAAACCACTACACCTCCATGCCTTTGTCGTTTTTTTTTTTTTTTTAGTTTATTCATGAAAATTTGCATTTGTATAATAGTATTATTATTAGCATTATTCTTTAATATATGCATATTTATAATTGGTTTAATAAAACAAGTTTAAATTTGTCCCCCTGTCAGGTTTTAGAGATGTTTGCATCACCATATAGGGCATAAGAATAGGACGTGTGTTTGGATATAACCCAGTTATTTCTCGTTATTATTGTTTATTTATTAGTTTGCTGGAAAAAGAACTGAATTTAGAAATAGTTTTGAAGCAAGTCTTTGCGATAAATTTAATTAAATATGTAAAGCTAATAAATGTCTTCAGTGGAGTGCGTGCAACACTGTTTCCTACATTCTCCTTATTACGAAAGTAAAGGAGTAAAGAGTAAAAGTAAAGAGGAAGTAAAGAGGCCGAATGGAGGAGGCTCGTTCTTTATCCTCGAGTTGCAGATGGTCTGTTTAACTGTTTTCTAACTAGTGAAGTGTTCAGTTTTTCCACTTTCACAGTCTGTCATGTAAACAGCAAATGCACCATGGTGCAACACAACTGACTCTTATAGGGAACGGGAGATGAGACTCGGATTGGATTAATGCACGATATGCTCAAAACGCACCCATAACTCATTAGGAGAATAAGCACAACCATGTAAGACCATGCTCCAGGGCGCAGAGTGCATTTTTCTGTCCTTAAAATAAATATAAGTGTATTCTGAGACACATTTAATGCTTTTGCGCCATATGCTTTAGACTTTGAGCTTAGATCGTTAAAATAGAGCCCTAAATCTACCACAATTTGCACTGCAGACTGAAAACAAAAAGCACTGCTCTGCCAGGTGATCTGCTTTGTTTGTGGATCAGCAAAGCATCAAATGTCTCAGTGAGAAGCAAATCAATGAACGTTTTTGCTTCAGTCACTCAACTGAGTCCTAAAGATCCATTAAACATCAACCCCAACAGCCCCGTCCCTCAGCACTGAGCCCACTTACCCGAGCCATGTTGCAGATCCTAAAAATGCGATTGATAATGTCCTCGTCAATGTCAGCAGAGATGAACTCGACCTGTATGGGCCCATAACAGCAGGAGCCTTTCTCTGGCCAATACTGCATGCAGAGCTGCAGACAGACACACAATCAAACATGTTCACAACCAGACGATGTGACTCAATTAATGTATTCAGCGCTCATGAGGCCGAAATCTAAAGGGTGCAAGAGAAATGAAAATAACCCAATAATACTAAAGTCCACTAATCTGAACTCGCAATTGCAGTGTGCCAAAGAAATCTGGTCCAATGATCCCTCGCTTATTCACTCAGACTTAAATGAGCCACATCACATTTCCTTTCATCTGCTCAGATAAAAGACTTTGGTATACTATGAAAAGATAATGCAACTTTCAGAAGTCAAAAGAACAAACTGGAAAATGGCCATTTATTGAACTGAAGTCATTCTTAACAAATTTATGACTGACAACTAAAAGGTCAGAAAGAGGTTCACTGTTATGTTTGGTGCATAAACCATGGCCAAAGAGTTTAGATTATTGTATTTAAAAAGTTATTTGAGTTACATTTGTTAAATAGCCTCAAGTGTTGGTGACTAAGAATGCTACTAATTTATCAAAAATAGAAAAAGGTAACTCTTAACAAAAACAACAACACATAAGGAAAACCAAGTCCTTTGCCCAGGTTTATGACAGCATCAGATTATTTTGATGCATTTACTTGCTAAAGTTTAATCACAGTGTATGGTATGACATAAGCTGCAAAAAACGTTACTTTAAAAGGTATAATAACAAGACAATTTACATCTTGAGAGTAAACAAATGTTTCAACCAAATTAAATTGAAAAAGTATTATAAAAGTACAACAGGTAACACTTGAAGAGAAGATTCTCAATACACTTCTAAACATAATAATTTTAATAACTCATCTCTAATAACTGATTTGTTTTATCTTTTTACTAGATTTTTTCAAGACACTTCTATACAGCTTAAAGTGACATTTAAAGGCTTAACTAGGTTAATTAGGTTAACTAGGCAGGATAGGTTAATTAGGTAATTTATTGTATAACAATGGTTTGTTCTGTAGATCAAAAATATATCAAAAATAAATAGCTTAAAGTATATAATTAAAAAATTAAATAATTTTGACATAAAAAGGTTTAAAAAAATTTAAAACTGCTTTTATTCTAGCCGAAATATAACAATTACGACTTTTAATAGAAGAAAAAATATTATCAGATATTAAACATCATTTGGGAAATATTTAAAAAAGAAAAAAAAATTCAAAGGGGGGCTAATAATTCTGACTTCAACTGTATTAGTTACTATGGTAATATTAGTAGAAAATTGCATTTAATTATTGATTACCTCTAAAATGAGTATGATTTTACTGCATTATAAAGCATTAGGGTTGGGGTTAAGACCAGGGTTAACCTAACTTAACCCGGATCGTAACCTAACGCTAACCCTAACATCTAAGAAATGAACATCACCTAAGATTGATAAAAGCTGTTGTATTTTTTATCGTGAGTTAAATTATATAGTTAAATTACCTAATGTTAACTATTGAAGGCTTATTATACAATGTTGATGTACAATAGTCCTATAGTCACAGAATTCTTAATCAATAGTTCAGCATGTAGTAGGCCAGATTCAAATGTGAAAAAGTTAATGTCTGAATTATAAAGACAAGCAATCAAGTCTCCAAGCATTTGTTTTTGTTATGAACACCATAAACACAATGTAAATATTCTTAAAAATCACACTAAAAGTTTATATAATAAATAATTCTTCACAGCATTTTCTTACTCAACTCATTGTAATAACTGGAACCTTTATTTTTTTTCAGAAAAATATATATTTCTAAAACAAACAAACAAACAAACAAACAAACAAACAAACAAACTAACAACCAAACAAACAAATAAATAAATAAACAAAAAAAACTCTCTAGTCTCTACATGATTTGTTTGATTTTTCTGAATTTATGTACAGTATTTAAGGCAAGTACACTACCTGACAAAAGTCTTGTCACACATTCAAGTTTTATGAACAACAAATAATAACTTGACTTCTAGTTGATCATTTGGTATCAGAAGTGGCTTATATGAAAGGCAAAGGGCTCTAGATTACGCTCATTTTACCAAAATAAAATATGATCATGTCTTAATTTTTACCTATTTAATTAGGACAGTAAGCTCTGACTTTGCTTAGACTGAAGTCTTATCACTTAACAGAAATAATGTACAGTATAGAATATAAAACATGCTGCAGTGAAAAAAAGAGTTAATATTGTGCATGACTCCCATGAGCTTGAAGGACTGCATCCATACATCTCTGCAATGACTTAAATAACTTAATAATAAAGTCATCTGGAATGGCAAAGAAAGCGTTCTTGCAGGACTCCCAGAGTTCATCAAGATTCTTTGGATTCATCTCCAATGCCTCCTCCATCTTACCTCAGACATGTTCAATAATGTTCTGGTGACTGGGCTGGCCAATTTTGCAGCTCCTTGACCTTCTTTGCATTCAGGAACTTTGATGTGGAGACTGAAGTATGAGAAGGAGCACTATCCTGCTGAAGACTTTGCCCTCTCCTGTGGTTTGTTATGTAATGGGCAGCACAAATGTCTTGATACCTCAAGCTGTGGATGTTGCCATCAACTCTGCAGATCTCTCGCAAGCCCCCCATACTGAATGTAACTCCAAACCATGATTTTTCCTTCACCAAACTTGACTGATTTCAGTGAGAATCTTGCGTCTATGCTGGTTCCAATAGGTCTTTTGCAGTATTTGTGACGATTGGGATACTTTTCCAAATGATCAACTAGAAGTCAAGTTATTATTTGTTGCTCTGGCAACTGGGATTGACGACCACACTTTTGTCAGGCAGTGTACATTGTAAGCAGTAACCCCATACTTGAATATTTCCAAGAATTCAACACTGAATCCAACCCAAGAACTGCAATAGCTAACAGATGTGTGGTGAGGGTCAAACAGCTGACATACAGTACCTGTGCAGCGTCCATTTCATTCAGCATGACGATGGTGGAGCAGTTGTAGTCAAACACGAGCCTCCAGAAGTCGGCCATGGTGTTGGGCAGAGGGTGCTGCGTCACGATGAAGGCCGCTGGCTGTTTGTGGCTCTGAAACAATCAATAAGACAACAAGTTAACTCTTCCTTCCAGCACTGAAGATGTGCCTAAGCCCACACAGGCTAACGTGCCTCACATGTGGAGTAACCTGGACTAAATGGAGACCAGTAGAGGCTCCCAAAACACAGACACTGACTGATAACCTTGCCAACGTTGACTGCAGATGCTGTTTTTTAAGACAAACACACACATACAGACACACACACTGGTTGGCCGGTTGTTTTCTGTGCTGCTTATCTGCTTTATCTGTTGTTCTTTATCAGAGGAGCATGTCTTCCGTCTTGATTATCCTTTTTAGATGCTGCGTGAAGATGAAGCTGCTTTATGGTGCGAGCGTGATCATGATCTGTGTGTGGAGATTACGGAGATGCCATCTAATCTTGCTCTCGGTTCAATTGGCTTGTTTATATGAGATTGTCAATGTGTGATCTTCGGGGCATTCTGCTCCATTTACCTGCGAGTGTAATACGGGAAGTGATGTAACATATAGTGTCATGCAGTTCTGGGACAAAATGTTCCGAATCAACAAAGAGCTGCTTAAAAACCCGAACTATTCTTGAGGGTCTTTGAATACTTGATTTTGATGGCTGATAGTACACTATAAGAGTGCAATTATTTTTAGATAAACACACAGCTATTGTAAAGTAGTGCCAGGCAGGTCTTGACCGCATTACAGTTCCACACACACCGGCCACTTTATTAGGTACACCTTATTAGTAGCGGGTTGGACCACACAATCCTTCAGAACTGCCTTAATCCTTCGTGGTGTAGATTCAACAAGGTAATGGAGATATTCCTCAGAGATTTTGGTTCATATTGACATGATAGCATTATGCAGTGTCTGCAGATTTGTTGGCTGCACATTCATGATGTGAATCTCCACATCCCAACGGTGCTCTATTGGATTGACTTCTGGTGACTGAGGAGGCCATTTGATTATAGTGAACTCATTGTCATGTTAAAAAAACAGTCTGAGATGATTCACGCTTTATGACATAATGCGTTATTTTACTGGAAGTAGCCATCAGAAGTTTGGTACACTGATGTCATAAATGGATGGACATGGTCAGCAACAATACTCAGGTAGGCAGTGGCATTAACACGATGCTCAATTGGAACTAATAGGCCCAAACTGTGTCAAGAAAATATCCCCCACACTAATACACCACCACCTCCAGCCTGTACCGTTGATACAAGGCAGGATGTATCCATCTTTCATGTTGTTGGCACCAAATTCTGACCCTACCATCCTAATGTCGCAGTAGAAATCAAGATTCATTAGAGCAGGCAACATTTTTCCAATCTTCTACAGTCCAATTTTGATGAGCCTGTGCCAACTGTAGCCTCAGTTTCTAAACTGACAGGAGTGCACCCATTGTCTTCTGTTGCCCATCCACCTTAAAATTCGATTTGTTGGTCGTTCAGAGATGTTCTTCAGCATACCTTGGTTGTAACGAGTGGTTATTTGAGTTACTGTTGCCTTTCTATCATCTGCCCATTCTCCTCTGACCTCTGGCATCAACAAGGCATTTGCGCCCACATAACTGCCGCTCACTGGATATTTTCTCTGTTTCAGACCATGCCCATGCACCAACAACCATACCACGTTTAAAGTCACTTAAATCACCTTCCCCATTCTGGTACTCAGTTTAAACTGCGACAGATGCTCTTGACCATGTCTACATGCCTAAATGCTGCCATGTACTGCCAAATGAGTTGCTGCCATGTTATTGGCTGATTAGAAATTTCCATTAAGGTGCAGTTAGACAGGAGTACCTAATAAAGTGGCCGGTGAGTGTATATCACTACAGCAATTTATTTAAGCTATTTAGCAGCCTACAACAGTCAATTAAAATCAAAACCTCATTACTCAATGATTACTCAACCTCATTTACTGTTTTCATTTGTGCCTCTTTAAATGCAAATGAGCTGTTTCTCCCTGCCCTCTTTCTAAAAGAGGGCGGTGCCTTTACAGCTAGTGCCTTGGGTAATCTGCCAGCAGCAAAAAAGGTATGCTTTTTATAGTAACAGTTTAAACTCCAGATAAACAGTTTTCTTCCAAATACACTTTTTTTTGCAGCATATCTTGAAAATGGCAACAACTACTAAATAAATAGCATGTTTAATTCTAATGTCAGAAAGAGGATAGAGAGGATGCAAAATGGGTAACACTAAAATAATGGCTCATTAGTTAGTAGCATGAACAAACTATTACAGTTTTTTACAGACTCCAGGACACATTTTTCAATACTTAGGTCACTTTTGCAAAACTCTTCACACAATTCTCCTAACTGACTTTCAGCTTAGCAAAACAGTTAATTTCACATTCAAATTGCATTACAAATAAACCAAAACACTTTATTCAGGTCTCAAATAAACTCATTCTTCCAGAACACTAGCAAAGGTTGACAACCGACAAACACACTTTGTCACCCACAAAACAATGACCTAAAAAACACTAACAACATGTTGCATTACACAATGTTTTTTTGTGTAAAAAACAGGGACATATCTCTGTTTGTAATTGCAATATATGTTACTGGAATGAATCAGACATGATGCAGAATTCGTCAATATTTTATGTTGTTTATTTATTTATTTTTTTGTTGCACTAAGTAATTCCAAAACACAAGAATTTGTGTACATACATCCACTGATACAGACACAATAGTAATGCTAATCTGGCTGGTTAAACTGCGTTTTTAAATTTGAAATACGTTTCAATAAAATATTGCTGTTGCATTTTGCTGTCTTATTCAGTTTTGGATTATGTTATTGTTTGAACATAACTTTAACAGTTTTGCACGTGCAAAATGTCCTGTACGTACAAGGATTTTTGGCAGTTGTTGTGTCTGAGTGAGAAAAGAATTCATGAAATTTGAGAGATGTAGACATTGAATGCATTTTGTGCCAAAACAATGATAATTGATCCTCAGTTTAGCCCACATAGACTTCTGTTGTGCTCACTGTGAATAGTTTTGCAAAAGTGACTTAAGTATTGAGAAATGTGTCCTAGAATTTGTAAAAAAAAATGTGATTATGGTATTTATCCATCTTTATTAACGTTAGTTGAAGTTCATTAACTTTGGATTTTAATAATGCAGTTGTTCATGTTGAACTGATTAATAAATGCTTAATAAGATTATTGATACTTATTTAATGTTAGTAAATACATCAACTAACATTAACTAATTAATGGACCATTATTTTAAAGTGCAATGGCAAAATGGTCATTTATAAGTAAATAATTGCTGTTTTGGTGCAATAAAAATGGGAAGAATTAACCTGTTCAAAGTTCAATGCAAGATTGCTGAAAAAATGCAGCAATAGATTAAAAATGTAAGCTAGGTAACTTCAAACTTACGTCCATCAGCGCTGCATTGATGTAATTGCTGGACTCGCCATCAACAGAAATGAGGAAAGGCAGGCATCGGTCCACTGCGAGGACGTCCATGCTGCGGTTTTTATCATGGTTACGTGGGAGAAGGCCAATGCTGCAGTCCTCTGGACGAACACGCGGCGTCACTATATTCAGAGTCTGAGGACGAACACACGAAGGACTGTAACAAACACCTGCATTCACTTTCACTAGCGTTTATAAAACCAATTCAACTGTGCTGCTGGTCAAACTGAGAGCAATGCAAATATTTTAGTAAACTGAAGGTCAGCCATTACTTATGTATAAGAAAGACTGGTGAAAATTGAAAGAGAGAGACAGATGGAGGGAGAGACAGTGAAAAATGGCTTACAAGAGAGAAAGATGCAGCGCCAGATAGAAAGAGAAAGATCAGTGAGGAAAGGAAGATATTCATCATATTTTATGAGACACCTCACACATCTGAAGCTTCGCATCCTCTCAGACGGCAGCGGCTCACTCATTTCACAGGGAATACAAAACATAAAGGACGCATGAAAAGAAATAGCTGGGCGCTGGGCTTTATGAGGCTGTAGCCGATGGCTCGTAAAAACACTCTCTCCCTCAATGCCTGAGTCACTTTCTTTACTCACCTGCCTCATCTCAATGCATCGCCGACTGACTTATTCAAAAGCAGTTTGAATTTAGGGGGAATTATGATGAAATCACACCAGAGAGCTTGATGAAGTTGTTAGAAATGGCTGCGAGGGCTTTAGCACTGCTTGTCGACAGCAAAAACCTTGGAGGATTTAGTAAATTAGGCCTCCACGTGGGCTGATCGCAGAGCTCGCTGATTATAGAGAGGACGCTTTTAAAAAACACATTTTCCTTCTGTTATTGAGACTCGGAGGAAAGATAAATCACAAATGAGCTCTCGCCCGTTTCTCGTTTGTTCCTCCTGAACTGTAATAGGACTGAATGGAGAGCAAATTTGGGGATGATAGCTTAAGAAATCTGATGTTTAATAATGTCACAGATTGTGCTAAGAGATTTCATAACAAACTCAGACGATCTTAAAGGGATAGTTCACACAAAAATTTAAAAAATACTCACCGTTTACTTGCTTAAATATACTCACAGCTTCACACTTTTATGGCTTCTTTTTTTTTTTTTGTTAAACAAAATAGGTAACCTTGAAAAAAACTAACTTATATTGACTTTCATAGAAGGAAAAACAAATAATATGGAAATCAATGGTTACAGGTTTTCAGCATTTTTCAAAATATCTTCTTTTATGTTCATCAAACGAAAGAAAATCAAACAGGTTTGTGACTTGAATGCTGAGTAAACGATGACGGAATTTTCAGAATATCCCTTTAACTATGCTTTTTACAATAATACTTCAGTTCTGAAGTCTACATTTGTTGTCTCCTGAAATCTCTACGCTATATACGCTATAAGACTTTCCTACTGTACATATAATTAACTTAATTTCAAATCATAAAAATAGAATATCAATAAAAATATCAAATAAATACATTTAAAATGAATCTCCTTCAAATGTCATAATGGCTAATATAGGGTTTTGTTTTCAAATCAATGGCTATTGCCTGTGATAAGTTTTACCAGAGTTTAGAACAATCTAGATACTTAGGGCCCTATCATACACCCGGTGCAAAAAAGTGCAAGATGTGTTTGGCACAATTGGTTACTATTTTTTTAGACCAGCGGAAAAGTAATTTTCATGTTTTGTGCCATGTTGTTTAAATAGCAAATTCATTTGCGCCACTTTGTGGACTCATGGGTGTGCTGGTCTAAAGAAGGTGTGTCAAGGCTCATGGCTGGTGCGTTGCTATTTTGACGAACTGAAATAGGCTGTGCCATTGACCAACTAAAAGCTGGTCGAAAGTCAAGTGCAGAGCGCATAAGTTTTGCGCCTATATGGTCCAAGTACTTACACATTGCTTAATGCACACAGGATGTACAGCAATACACAAATATCTTTACATATGAAAAAAATAAAATAAATAAGGGATTAAAATGTTACAAAAATTATTATTTTCTACATAAATATAAAAACCCCTACCTCCATGTCTTCTTCACCTCGAGTGGGCTTTTTCAATTTAGCATTTGTATATTGTTATTAATATTAGCAGTATTATTTATAATATGCATATTAATATTTGTTATAATAAAATCAAGTTTAGATTTGTCCACCTGTCGGGTTTTGAAGATGTTTGCGTCACCATATAGGGCATAAGAATGTGTGTTTGGATATAACTCAGTGTTTTGACCACACTTGGTTATTATTGTTCATTTATTTGTTTGCTGGGAATTAGAACTGAATTTAGAAATAGTTTTAAAACGAATCTTTGTGCTTAACAAATTAAATTAATTATGTAGGGTAATGGATGTCTTCAGAGTGCGTGCAACATAATTTCTATATTCACAAAATTAAAGGAGTAAATAAAGAGTAAAAGGAAGTAAAGAGGCAGAATGGAGGAGGCTCGTTCTTTATCCTCACTGCAGATGGCCTGTTTAACTGTTTTCTTGCTAGTGAAGCATTCAGTTTTTCCACTTACAAAGTCCGCCATGTAAATGTAAAAAGCACCATGGTGAGACATAACTGACTCCAAGGGAATGGGAGATGTGACTCTAAATGGTTTAATGCACGTTATATTCAAAATACACCCATAACTCATTAAGAGAATAAGCACAACCCTGTTAGACCATGCGCCAGGGCGCAGAGTGTATTTTTCTTTCCCTAAATTAGCGGATGGTGGATTCGGATGTGTTTCCCTTAATGTGTTTATGTCATGTGTTTTAGACTTTGTGCTTAGGTCAAAATAGAGCACTAAGTGTAAAAAAGGAACTTTATTGGGTTTGGATTGGATAAAGGTTTATAAAGCTTCTTCAGTTTTCTAAAATGTTCTTTCCTCTAAGAAAAAAATGATTCTTTTTCAGAGCTCTTCACTAAAATGTTTAACTAAAATGGCTGTGGTATCAGTTTTTTGGAGCCATTAGTTTTGGTTTACTATGGTGGGTTTGTGTGGTTTGCTGACCTGAAACTCATCTTTGACCTGGCTGGAGTTGGTCTGCGGGTCCAGTCTGCTGATGTTGTAGTAAATGGCTCTGAATTCACACACTGGGATTGCTGTGTTTCCACATAAACATGCTTCCAGGATGGCATCATGTACAAACACATACTGCTCCTGCAGAAAGACACACATGGAGATCAATAGAGGAAAAATACTGTGGTACAATCAAGGGAAGTGATACTAATATCATAAAGGTTATAATTCAGCTCCTTTGATCAAATGCAGCATTCTAGAAGCAAGAGATGTCTTTGAAAAAAAAGTTTGAAAAATAAAATAACTGTATCTGCACCAAAGTTATTTTAGTTGACAAAACCTAAAAAACTTAATTTCCCGAAAAACTCAGACTAAAATAAAACAAAAATAAAAATGAATAAATTAGAACTAGGCAGCGATTAACCGCATTAAACCCCCCCCCCCATCTGTGTATTTATACATGCATAATAAACATACACAGTACACACATAAACTGTATTTTATCAAAACAAACGTTTATTTGGAATGCGATTTATCAAGATTAATTTTTGCCCAACACTAAAAATAATATAGACATTGCAGAATTAATAAAACAATGTCAAAGCAAACAACTAAATAAATTTAACTAAAATGAAAACTAAATATATAATTTAGACCATTAGTACAAATAGTTATTCACTTACAGTATACTAAAACAGGAGTCACCAAACTTTTCAGTGCGTGACCCGCAAAATAACAATGCCAGTGACTCGTGAGTGACCCCCACATTTCCCCACATTTCTTGAGATGTTCCACACACAACAATAGAGCTATATAAACACAAGCATATTGACAAGACAAAAAGTGCAACAGTCTAGTAATCATATCATTTTTATAGTCATTTATTAATTAATTAAATATTAATCTCACCTAATGAGACTGGTTGGCACAACACTTTTAGCAAAAGTCTATTCTTGGTTTAATTTTGGAGACTGCTACTCCTCAATGTTCAGTTGAGGCCTGTTTTTATTTGTAATGTATTTGATTGCCATAAAGGTGTCAGAAAGTTTAACCTGGTGCTATAAAATTGTTCTGTAACATAAACACAACAATCTGATGAAAAAATTTATAATTTAAAGGCTGATGGCTTTTCATTTGCATGTTGGTTTTTTATGTAATTCTGTACCACCTTTCTGGTAAAAAATAAAATAAAATAAAAATACACACATTATTATGGATAAACATGTTAATTCTAATAGTTTAATAAAATTTATTTGACTTCTGGAAATCACCCCAGAGAGTCCCGGCCCCCACTTTGGGAACAACTGTACTAAAAAAAAAAAAATGATTTACTCAAATTAATATTTAAAAGTGTTGCATCAGATTTACAATTCAACCTCATGACAGTTTTAATTAGCTCACTACTTTAAGATTAAGATATGGTGATTAGATATTTATGCATTATAATTATTATATTTGCCGGTAGGCAAAAAAAAAAAGTATTTTAGCATCGTTTTTAATGATAAAAATAATAACCAAAGCTGTAAGTTAATTAGGAGTTTGATTTAAATTTGTACATCTTAAACCAAACATCTGCATAATTTATGACACATCCAAATACATACATCTTGAAAAGCCTGATCTGAAGCTGAGAGTGAAATCATTAGGGAAATATAAACTCCACACAGACATTCATACACATTGAGCGCTGATCATGAAGCACAGTTTGCTGAAGGGCAAATGACGTTTTACACGGATTTCAACACTGCTGCTAAAATCCAGAGCAACTGAAATCCAAAACCGCTTCAACTGAGGCCTCAAAAAATAAGATCAAGCGGTTCTTAAAGCACCATCACCATCCTGCAGCTAATATTACACCCATCCTTAAACCCCAGCCATAAATATAGGCCGGAATTATCCATATTTTAACTCAACAATGCCTGAGGCTTAAAGGTCTGAATGCTAATGTCGGCCTTTGATCCATGCTAAGCTAAAGTCAAGCTGAGCTGACCTCTCGTACCTATTACTCCATAACCCGGTGAGCTCTTCTGCGGAGCGACTGGGACAAAAGACGAGGAAAGAGCCTTTTAAAAGATTAATTGCTGAGTGTTGTGTTTGTGGAGGATTATCTCTGAATGGAGCTGCAGGCTGACACAAATTGCCTCCCAGAAGCCATTATCACCGCTACTGTGTTTAGTGTTAGTCTTTTAAAAGCATGCTGTCCTCGCTGAAAAGTGTTTAATATCAGAATGGAGTGAATAAAATATTGGCATGTAGATCTGATGTAGTGTGTGATTATTATTGCTATTATTGTTATTATTATTATTATTATTATTATTATTATTATTATTATTATATGAATAGTATTGGGGCTCAGTGGTTAGCACTGTCGCCTCACAGCAAGAAGGTTCCTGGTTCGAGTCCTGGCTGGCTCAGTGTGGAGTTTGCATGTTCTCCTCATGTTCGCGTAAGTTTCCTCTGGGTGTTTTGGCTTCCCCCACAGTCCAAAAACATGCACTCTAGGTGAATTACATTAACTAAATTGTCCATAGTGTATAAGTGTGTGTGAATACGAGAGTGTATGAGTGTTTCCCAGTACTGGGTTACAGCTGGAATGGCATCCGGTACATAAAACATATGCTGGAATAGTAGCCGGTTCATTCTGCTGTGGCGACCTCTGAAATAAAGACTAAGCCGAAGGAAAATAAATAATTTAATAAATTGAATAATACTACATGAATAGTATTATATGTAGGGTTGTGCTAACTACCAATTTATTACAACAGGTACATTTATTTTTATATCAAATACATGCATTTTTTTATTTAAATAATTCTATAATAATAATGATAATAAAAATAAACAAATAAACACGTTGTGTGAATAATATAAAACTATGACTGCACTAAATATCCATTTAAGACAACAGAAAGTGTTATAAGAAATGCATGAATATTTTAATAATGATATTGTTAATAATAATAATTTTAAACCACTCAATTGAATGTAATATAATAACTAAATAACCAACATGCGTATTAAATAAAATGTATTATAATATTTTTTTTAATTATTAAACAATTTAATTAAATGGCTGAATATTTTTGATGCAAGCATAATAATAATAACAATAATAATAATAATAATTACAACACAATTTATTAAAGCAGCATAATATTTAAAAAAAATGTAAAACAGCTATATTAAATGTAATATAAAACAATAATTAAATCACTTAAATTTGTATAAATAAAATGTAACATAATATAATAATTAAATATCAATTTAATTAAAATGGCTGTATATTTTGATGTGAGCATAATAACAACAACAACACTAATAATAATAATAATAATAATAATAATAATAATAATAATAATAATAATAATAATAATTGCAACAACAACAACAACAACAAAATTGAATAATAGAAACATAGTTTAATTTAAACAAAATAAATTATATTGTATATTATATTATATTATATAAAATAATATTTGTTGAATTGTTTACACTAAATTAAATCTAATATAATACAATAATCAAAAAACTTAAACTTGTTTTTAATAAAATGTAATATAATATAATATTTTTTATCAATTTATTGAAAACATGTAAGCATAATAATAATAATAATTTTAAAAATGTTTTTATTAAGATTAAACAAGAGTTATTATATGTGTATTGATTAAAGTATGTTTTAATATCAAATGCATGACAAATATTTTAAATTAAATGCATTAAAAATATTTCTTTTTTTATAATGATCTCTAGTTTTCAAATATGAGACTAATCAATTTATAATTATACTGTATAATTGCTCCATTATAAAAGAGTGCAATTCATCCACCACTAGGGGGCATGATTTAAATTCTACATTTAGTAAACTTCAGGAATCTGTCAGATCCAAGATATTTAGTGAGTCAAGTAATTGAGAGAGAGATAGAGAGAGAGAGAGAGAGAGAGAGAGAGAGAGAGTGTGTGTGTGTGTGTGTGTGTGTGTATGTGTGTGTGTGTGTGTTTGTGTGTGTGTGTTGATGAGCTTCACCTCAGTCTGCACCATGTTGACTCTCTGCGAGCGCAGCTCTCTGATGCAGTTAAAGATGTCCACCACTCCTTCACTCTCCGCCATGTCCAGCATGATGTCCACCGCAATGAAACAGCCTGTTCTTCCAGCACCAGCACTGCAGAAAACACACCAACAGACTTAGGGGCCGCTTCTAACTGCAGGATAACCTTCCACAACACTGAACTGTGATGGAGAGGGCAGACATTCTGACATTCAAATATTCTTAAAAATACAACATAACTAATTCAGTAACCAAAAAAAAAAAAAAAATAAATAAATAAATAAAAACAAGAAAAAGTAAAATAATGCATTTAATTAATTCCTAATATTATAGTGTCCATTATGAGTCACAATTCAAAATACTGTAAAGAGTAAATTGATATAATTAAATGATAATAATAATGTGATAATAAAAAATATTGATATGTTGCATTTATAGGATTGTATATTCACATATATATATATATATATATATATATATATATATATATATATATATATATATATATATATATATATATATATATATAAGTCTACACAAAATAATTAAGCTGTATACTGTATGTCTTCAAGATTATAAACAATAAGATTTTTAAAAATGTTAATGAAATAGCAAATCTTAACATTAGAATGAAGGTCACATGAGACTGGGCTAATGATACTTAAATTTATAAGATATCATAGTCAAATACATTGAAATATAAAACATTTTATTGTTTTAAATGCAGCTTATTATTTATTTGTACAACAGTTATGTCTGGTTCTTGAATTTGATTGGCTGATAGCCATGTGATATTCTGCAATAACAGCACTCGTACAGCCTCTTCATCCTTGTGTATACCTCTGCCCATAGAGTTACAGCAGATCAATACAGTTTGACAAATATTTGTCGGCATACATTAGCCTGTCATACTGAGCAAAGCAAAGAGGGTTGACGTTCCGCCACAAGATGGCGACAGAGACTGCATAATACGTCCTTAGGGGAGGAAAATTCAGCGAAAATGTTTAATTTACAGCTAATCAAATCAATATGTATCAGGTAAGTGACTTTCTAAGTCGATCTCTCTCTTTGGTATGCTGTAGTGTTGGTTTTAAACCATAGTAATCTGGTAGTAATTGCTTTGCTTTAAAATTTTTTAAGGTAATTATTGTGATCTCGCCATTGAAACAGGGAAATACAAGGTAATCTCTGTAGACTGATGGCATTTCGTGCCGTTCAGACTTATGGGGCTCTATTTTGACGGTCCATGCGCAAAGCGAAAAACGCAAAACGCAGGGTGCAAATGCTTTCAGGGCGTGTCAGGACGCGTTTTTGCTAATTTAAGGACGGGAAATCTGCCTTGCGCTTCGGCGCATGGTTTAAAAGGGTTGAGTTTATTTTCTCAATGAGTTATAGGTGTGTTTTAAGAATAAACCAATTACAGTCTCATCTCCCATTACCTTTAAGAGTCAGCTGCGTCGCGCCAAAAGCGCATTCGCTATTTACAGGACGCAAAGTAAGTCTAAGTGGAAAAAAATGAGCATTTCACAAGCAAACAGTTAAAAGTTGACAGTTTTTTAACAGAAAACTGTTAAACAGAGCATCTACTGCGTGAGAATGAGAGATAATGGATCACTTTCACATTCGCTCTTGGATGGGGAAACCTTTACGCACAGACATGTCTATAAATAAATAATTTTGTTTGTTAAGTGCAAATATTCATTTCAAATCTATTTCTAAATTCAGTTCTAATTTCCAGCAAACGAATAAATGAACAATAATAGCAAAATGTGCTCAAAAACCTGAGTTATATCCTAAAACACATGCTGTGCCCTATATGGTCTAAAACCTGACAGGTGGGCAAATCTAAGCTTGTTTTTAATAAAACAAATGTAAATATGGATATAATAAATAATACTGCTAATAATAATAACAATATACAAAATATATATATATAATACAAAAATATATATCCTATATATATCCTTAATATTTACATTTTTTCATATGTAAAGATATTTGCCTATTGCTCCCTTGTGTGTATTAAGCAATGCATGAGCGAGGCGCAACTCTGCCCCAGAGTTTAGACCGGGTTAGTTTTGGTCTAATGAAAAATCTATTATAGTTTCTCAAAATAGCAACGTGCCAGCGGTCCACCTCAGAACGCCTTCCTTTTTAGACTAGAACGCCTATGGGCGCACAAATGAGCGCCAATGCATTTGCTATTTAAACAGCGTAGCGCAACGCCTCAAAACGACTCTTGCGCCAAGCTTAAACCAGCTACGTGTATGCTGGACTCAATTCCAACAAAACTACTGAAAGAGCTGCTACCTGCTATAGGAGAACCTCTTCTTAACATTATCAACTCTTCTTTATCTATAGGCCATGTTCCAAACTCTTACAAGCTAGCTGTTATTAAGCGTATTATTAAGAAACCGCAACTAGACACCAACAACTTAGCTAACTATAGGCCTATTTCAAATCTTCCATTTATGTCTAAAATACTAGAAAAAGTTGTTTCCACTCAATTTCTTAAACTACCAAAAGACTATTGCGTCACGCCTTGCGCCACACTGCGCCGGGTGTATGGTAGGGCCCATAATCTTAAAATGTGAGCAAAATCAACTGTTTTGTCAATATTACAAGACAGAATCATTCAAATGCTACCTTTAAAGAGATGTTGGTGAATAAGCAACGGTTTCTGCTGTTCTGACGTCAGCTGCAGATGTGAATGAATGGCGGAAGGAAGTAGTTCCTCATACACAAGGATTTCTGAGAATCTCTGTGTTTGATTTTCTTTTTATATACACGATTATGCCAGCGAACTGTTGTATATACGTGATATTACACTCGAAGCAGTGTGATATGGCTGTATATCAGCACTGGTGGGACACTAAGGCACTATTTGCATATGTATAAAAACTTACTTTTTACTTGATTTATTTTATGTTAAACCCGACACTAAACCTAACCATATAACAAGTATTTTGTTTTTATCCTCTTTTCAAGGTGATCAATAAATCAATCAAATTTCTAAAGTTTCTATTAATTTATTATTATTAAGTAAGATTATTTCAGGTTTTCTCAAGCTTCTGACAATACAGATCACAACATGCAGGAGATCCAGAGGCACACACTCAACACAATCAGAAAGTCTAGAGATTTCTGTTAAGATCCAAATGTTAGATGTTACCAAAACAAGCTTCTGGTAGGCTGAGATGCTGATGCGTGTATGTGTGTTTGTGTGTGTGTGTGTTTGGACAGCAGATGAGCTATCAGTCACTCTAAATCCACTCACACACACAGATCCAGACTGAACGCTGCCACAGACTGGCCGTCACTCACAGTGATTAATGGAGCGAGGGGTAAACAACTGACGAAGAGAAGGAAGAGACGGAGAGAGAGAGACAGAGAGATATCCTTTACACTTCACATCCACAGCCATTCATTCACTCAAATATTCACATCCACAGCCACACATTCACTCATTCATTTTCATATTGTTTCAAATCTGCAGGATTTCCTTTTTAGTAACTTTGCCTGCTCACACAGTACACATACAGTACAATGGAAGGCAATGCAAGCAGATCAATTTGAGCAAAAAAAAAAGACAATAGAACTTTAAAAACACCATAATAATATTCAATATTTTTCAGAATCAATGATCGTGATCATGAATCTATGATCACACTTTATTTTACTATAAGATTCACGTTTAGACTTTTAGCTCAATTAAAACTACTAATTAGCTGCCTATTAATAGTTAGTATAGTAAGGTCATGCTTTATAAGTAAAAAAGATAATACTTTAAAAATGCTAATCAACTATTATTGTTTATAATATGCAGGTAATAAGCCAGAAGTAAATGGTGGGAATTGTTGCTTAAACTACAGTGTTACCTGTTTTTTGTTTTTTTTTTGTTTTTGTGATAAATAAACAATGAATAACTGCTGAACTAAATACAAAATACAATTTAATGTAAATGGTAGGGTTATTAATTATCAAATAAATTATTGTTTTCAAAAAAAGGATTTTTAAAAAAAGTTATCGTGATTGATATTGAGAAAATCATGCAATGAGTGAAGATAACTCGTGATTGTCACAATCACCAGCAATCTAATCCTTGTAGATTGCTGGTAAACACACATAGAACTACAAATCTGCCATTATATGGACTACAGATCCAGTCATGCACCACTCACTTGCACCTGTTCAGGATTCTGCTGATTGCACACACACAAAGCCAGAGGATCTAAACGTACTGAGTACAAGGACTATTTATACAGCACACGCACACGCACACACACACGCGCACACACACACACACACGCACGCACACACGCACGCACGCACGCACGCACACACATTTTGTTTTGTTTGTTTTGTTTATGCATGACAGCGATAATGTTCATGATATGGTAAATGAATGCATATTTGTTAAGTGTATAAATTGTTCCATTTAAAAAAAGAGCACAGCAATATTTTCATCCACAACTAGGGGGCATGGCTTGAATTGATTAACTCACTCTCTATCCATTCACTAACACTAGAATGAAGGACCTTTAAATGATTCAATGATTCTTAAATTTGGTTTTAATTCCAACCTATTTTAGGTAGGTGAGTGAGCTGTCGCAGCCGGCGAGCGCGGAAAAGAGGAGTGGCGTCACACCGGCCCAAAGCGTTCGCTCTAAAAAACCAAATGCGGCCATACGTACCTCCGGCCACGTAAACGTCCGCGGGGCTACGTTTTCAGAATGAGCTTGGGTTGATTACTTCACTCTCAATCATGAATTCTATAGCATTGAATCCTGGAACAGCTTAGCGTCCATTGGATGCACACTTCAGAATTTCGCCAGAAGTAGTAGGTCATCCAGGTAATTCTGGCCTACTGTGTTTTCAGTTCTATACATTCTGACATACTAGTCAGCTCACATACTGTTTTTAACACACTATATAGTCAGGATGCAAGCAGTTTCAGATGCAGCCAATGAGTACTATCAACCAGCATTTTCAAAACACCTTATTTTGTGTTCAACTCATAATGATTTAAAACTACAGTATATGTGGGAGAATAAACTGTAAGGTTCATTTTTGGGTGAACTTTCTCTTTAAATTGAGGTTCTTTACTGGAATCAATGGTTCCCTGAAGTATCTTCAAAATACACTGATTATTTTAAATTACAACAAAACTTATTTTGAGAGAAAAACGTTTTTTTTTTTCTTACTGAAAAAAATAACTGCAACTTTCTCCAGGGAGCCCAAAATTGTATTACACTGTGATGAAAACTCTCTTTTGGAAGCTCTCTCTTTAAAAGCATTTTGACTTCAATCCTGATGCAACATTCTTCCAAAACTCCCTTTATGACCCATGTAAGTAATAAAGAACATTCTGTAATGTTCTGAAAGGCCACTGCTTGAATCGAAACCCTAATCTGTGGGCCGCGAGCACTTGACACTCAGTCTAATCCGCTCAGAAAGTTTCTTTGTCACGTCTGCTTGGTCTGTGGGATTGCAAATTTACACTGCCACTTCACAGTCTCCTGCTGTCACCTTTCATTCTTCCCACACGGCCTCCAATTACAGCTCACTATTGAGGGAGCGTCTGTGTCCATCTGCCAGAGCACGTGGGCATGGAGAGGACAGATTCATGATGAATGTCTATGCTGTGAGCATGTGTGAAACTCCTCTTCTTGAAGCTTTTTTTCCCTCTTACATGATAAGTTAGTTACACTGCAAGCGTTCATCTGGATTTACATTTTAGATCAAATACATATGTAATAAAGGAGACCTATCCTGCACCTTTTTACAAGATGTAAAATAAGTCTCTGATGTCCCTAGATAGTGTGTATGTGAAATTTTAGCTTAAAATACCCCACAGATATTTTTATAATTTTTAAAACTCACCCTTTTAGACTTTGATCCCAATTGTGCGGTTTTGGTGACTGTCGCTTTAAATGCAAATGAGATTGTGCTCTTTTCAAAAGAGGGCGGAGCTACAAATACAACCCAGTCTCATTTTAAAAATGTACCACTATATACATTTCTGGAAAGTGCCATATACGTTCCAGGAGGTAGGTTTATTGCCATTTTGTCTTCGCAAATCCACCCGAGGCCACTGTGTGCATTTTTTTCTCACTCAAGTGACATTCGTGCCTGTTGTTCATGTGTGAATCCATCAGAGGCCGCTGTCGTCTGAGTGAATGACCTCCTCCTTCCCTAAAGCCAACCAACAGTGTTTTCAAAAGCATCAATTGACCCGCCCACCCACTTTCATAAACCGTTTTCATAAAGCGACAATGTTTTCAAAAGCAATCCAGAAAAAAAGCTCTCGCCTGAGTTTTACCACATTTTCAGATTTTACCACATTCTCGCCCTTTTATTTACTTGTTTATTCTATTTTTCTGTTTTTTTCTTACGTGCTTTCTGGAACCGTTTTTCACCAGACTCAAACCGCATCATTGTGGTCAACTCCTCTCTGCGTCTCAAGTCCGCCAACATACATGGCGAGCTACTGGTCAAACTGGTAACAGCGGAAAAGCCATCCAAATGGAGGTAATTGGTCAGCTAGTACACTCGAAAGGAACGGCACCATATCGACTCATTTGCTATAAAGACAAAATGCAGCCATACATACTTCAGGCTACATATATCGCAATTTCCAGAAATGTATTTAGGGCTACAATTTCAGAATGAGCCTATGTTGGACAAATGCCTATGTGTCAGCATAGTGGGAGATTTAAAACAGGACTAGTGTTATTTCTGTGAAAAACTGAAAATGTAATAAGAAGAGGGTCAGAAGAAGGCAGTGCTCATTTCTTATTTGATAAATTCATAATAGAAGTTCATTATAAAATATTATATAAAAATTAATATCTTAAAACTCCACGTTTATAAAGCCTCTTAGTTGCTGACATGATCTTTGGCTAAAACAACCTCTTATGGTGGATGGCTGCTTCTCACTCAGGGTTGTTTATGCAAATGAGGGAGAGATTGTCACTAATGGGCGGGGCTTTCCCCCTATGATGAGGCTGGCTATACACCTTTTCATAAGCCTGTTAAGATGTGTTTAATGGTCATCAGCATCTTAGATCCTTGAAACTTTAGATTAAAAAAAAAACAAAAAACGTATGAACATTTATAAGTTTTAATGAATTTATTATATCATCTTTGCTTCAAATTACAAAAACAAATTACCACATGTGTGGATGTTTCTAATGCAGCGTGTATGGGGGGCTGAGAGTAAATTTGATGTTGGTCTCTTCTCTGGCTGCTGTCATCAGTATCACACTATTTTTCCTTTTTCTGAACGTTATTATAACAACATCATAGAGTTTTTCTTTTATTATTTGAGCAAATAAGATGATGACTTAGCCTACTGAGAAACCTGGAAATGTAAAAAGGGTCTATAATCACACACTTTTGTCCCACAACTGTGTTTAAACCCCTTATGGAGTGATTTTTGCATAATAGGTCCCCTTTAAACGCATTTAATGAAATCAATGCATTTAGCTCATTTCACGTTAAAATGGTTTCAATTTGTTTTGCTCTGAGTGAAGATTGAGGTAACAAAATAGCAGCATTATCTGTGTTCAGCACCACAAACACACAAACCCATGCTCTCCTTTATCAGTTAATGACAGAGGAAGACCTTCAAGAAGGGCATGATGCTATTTAACATCTTGGAAGCTGTAAAAATATAAAATATCATCTACAATATAGACCAGAAACAGTCATACTTTGTTTTAATGTACAATTCAGGTTATTAACTACCCCAACCAACAAAAATAAAAAAATAAAAAATAAAAAATTGGATTGCATTTCTTAACTCCTAATGTCGCTAGTTAACACACTCAGTGCACACATCCCATAATTTCTAAAAAATTAGCCTCTACTGAATGGTTGATAGGTTTACAGTAAAAGTACCAGAATTGTAAGGAAGTGTAAGAACAATTTATTTATAAAACAATCCAAATAAAAAAATTTTGAATACTAAGTCATATTTATTTTTTGAAGTATGCTATAAAATATTTCAGATTCTCATTTAACATGTTTTCTTGGGTATTTATTTATTTATTTATTTTTGTTCGATTTTTTAGTTTTTTTTTTGTAAACCAACAATGCTGTGTGCCTAAACCATTGTTTAAAACAGTAATTCTTTAAATTACTTTAACAGTCATTATTTAAAACAGTAAAAACTAGGTCAACCGTTTGGTAGAGCGGCAGTCAAATAGTAAATAAACCATCATCTAAAACTATTAACTCATCAAATTACTAATTAGTTACTTATTAATAGTTCTCAAAGTAGTAGTTCAGTTTAGGTATTGGGTAGGATTAGGGATGTAGAACAAGATCATGCAAAATAGGTACTTTATAAGTACTAATACTCAGTTTATATATTGAACCGATAATATTTTAATAACAGGCAGGTAATAAGCCTCAATTAGTTAGCATTGTTACTTAAAACAAAGTATTATCCTAGAAACTCATACAGTAAAGACGTGTGTGTGGTAATGCATTTTAGCATTACTTATAGATTAGGCCTATTATTATATCTAATATTATTTAGATTTTTTTTCTTTTGTCATTTTTATTTGTTTTTGAGTTTGCTAATTTATTTATTTTTTTATTTACTCTTTTTTATTACTTTATTAATTATTTTATTCATTTATTTTTCATTTATTTGGTTATTTTCTATTTATTTATTAATTAATTTATTATTATTATTATTGAAACTTTTTTATGTTAGTAATTTTAGCAACATGTTTGGTTATATAAATAATTTACTTGGCTACTCATTTCTTTTTGTCGTTAATTTCTTTAAGCTCTTTAAATTATTTATTACAGTTTTATTTACATTTAAATTTCAAAATTAGTTTGAAGACAGGAAACAAACATATATAAACATTTAATTATTAATATGAATCATTTAATTAATAAGCTAATAGTAATATTTTACTAAAATGTTACGGTTTTATTTTAATAAAAAAAAAAAAAAAATTAGCACGTTCAAATTGATTTAATGACTGTTTTAAAAATAGTAAATACGGTTTTAAATAATAATAATTATTTGAGTTTGTATTTAACCAATTTACAGCCAAAATAAAAACAATACTAGATGACATCACAATAAAAACCAGTAACCAAAACTATATACTGTAAGCATAACATAAGTGAAAGTGCTCAGAAATTATGTGTAATTGAAATATCCAATGGTCCTCTTATTGTAGATTCATAATCTGTCCAACTTTGTCTTTGAACTTACAGAAAATGGAAATATGAATACTTATAAGCAGGAGAAGAGCAGATAGCAGCATACCTGCAGTGAACCACGATGGGTCCTGCGTCTGGAGGATTGAGGAACTTGACCTGGCGGATGAAGCCCAGCAGGCCTGTGGCATAACAGGGGACGCCGTGATCAGGCCAGCTGGTAAAGTGGAACTGCCGGATCTCCCGGATCTCATGGTGACCCTTCTGCAAACAAGAGCATGTGTTGAGACTCAAACCAACAGGTGTCTTCATCTCAGGATAACAGGTAGAAGATTACGCTAGAAGATGGCTAGGATTAAGAAACCCAGAGGATAACAATCAACACCATGTGGGATATTTCTCAGTGTATACAGTGTAAATATTGTGGTATATTAAAGGATTCAACAATATGGATGACCTGATGGAGCTGAGAAAGCTTTCACAACATAATAATAAAACAAATAGTAAAATAAAAAATGTTAGTAGTCAAGACAATTTTGATTAATTTTAATTATTTAACTTGCAAATAAAATAAAATAAAAATTTAATCAAATAAAATAAAAAGATTCTGTTAGTTGTCAATGCAATGTTGATTTATTTTCACTTGCAAATAACATAAAATAATATAAAATAAAAATTAAGTTAGTAGTCAAGAACATTTTTATTTATGTTAACCTGCAAATAAAAAAATAAAAATAAAAATAAATTAAATAAATTAAAAAGTTAGTAGTCAATAAAACTGATTTAAATAAAATAAAATAAAATAAAAACATTAGGCTAATACTCCATAAAATGTTGATTTATTTTCCCTTGCAAATAAAATAAAATACTATAAAATAAAACAATAAGTTAGTCGTCAATATTTTTTTATTGTAACTTGCAAATAAAAAAAGATAAAATATTATAAAATCAAATCATTAAGTTAGCAATAAATTACATTTTTATTTATTTTAACTTGCAAATAAAATAAAAATAAAAGATTTAAAAAAATATATCATTAAGTTAGTAGCTAATGAAAATTACAATTTATTTTAACATACAAATAAAATAAAATAAAATACATTAAGTTAGTAGTCATGACAATTTAATTTAACTTTAATCATTTTAACTCGAAAATAAAATAATTATAAAAGAAATTATTAACATGAATAAAATAAAAATATGAATTAAAGTCAAGAAAAATTTTACTTGTAAATCCAATAAAATAAATTGGAAAAAACACAAAAACATTAAGTTAGTATTAAATACAATTTTGATTTATTAAATTTTTTTTAACTTAAAAAAAAAAAAACCATTTAAACAAATTGTAGTTAAGTATACAATTTGATATATGAATTCAGAAAATAATTATATAACTTAAAGTTAATAAAAAAAGTATTGCACAAAACTAAATAACAATATTTTAAATAATATGCAAACAAATAAAAAATGCCAAACTATAAAACAAAAATAAAACATTCAGTCAATCAATCAATTAAATTGCATTATTCTATGTAATATGTAAATTTTCAAACTTTCCTCTATATTTGATGTGTAAAAATGGCCTGAGAAACCATTCAGGGCTCGATGGTCAGTGTTGGAAACACTGCCCAGCCACTGTACTTAGACCAGTGTGAGCACTGAGCTTTTTCACACACATGTTGTGCTACAGTACACATCTTTTCCCATTACTTCCACAGCACTTAATGCTCTGATAAGCTTTTAATTATAATTTGGGATTGAGAGTGCCATAATCTGTGCCTGGAGCTGCTGATACCACCAGACGAGGACCCATGTTGCTTTTTAATACAGACTGCGTGTGTGTATGTCTGGAGAGTCGTAACTGAGCTGCTATTCATGACAAGAGCCACTGAAACCTAGATTGGGTTTAAAATCCATTCCTTGACACATAAGGACACTCAAGAATGATTTTAGGGATGAGAGAGCTAATGCCACTGATGTTGAATATCACTACTTTGATAATTGAGTCTCTTCTTGAAATGCTCGAATTTAAACTGTCTGACCATGACACTTCTAAAATGCTAAATACTACCGTCTGGGAGATGTTGTGGCACAGAAACTCTTTAGAGAAACATATTCTTGATGTGAAAACACATACGGGTTATCTGAAAAAGATATTTAAGCAGATACATACATGGAAAAAAATAAGAGACCAATAAAAAATTCTCAGTCTTTTGTATTTGCTGGATTAAAAAAAATAAATAAATAAATAATAATAATAATAATAATAATATATATATATATATATATATATATATATATATATATATATATATATATATATATATATATGTATATATATATATATATATATATATATATATATATATATATATATATATATATATATTGTATTTAAATATGAGTTTAAGTAAAATGTTAATAATTGTATAAAGAGCTGATAATTTTCTAGATGAAAAAATATAATTTATGGATTATCTTTTCCTAAATAATAACTGTTCTGAAAAACATTTTCATTTATTTATTTATTTGTTTATTTATTTATTTATTTGTTTGTTTGTTTAAAATCAAGGTTGTAACACCAAATATATATTTTTTAACTATTCTAAAGTAAAAAAAAAAAAAAAAAAAAAAAAGGTAAAAACCAGGCTTATTTAACCAAAAATTGTTTTTTTACTATTCAGAAGTTTAAACATTGGTATTTTAAAAAAATGAAATAAAATAGAGAAACGAAAATTAATTTAAAATCATTTGACCAAATATATTGGTTAACTATTCTGAAGTTCTAAAATTAAAATCAGGGTTACTTCACCAAATATTGATATTTATTTTTTTAATATTCTGTAGTTCAAACCTGATATAAAAAATAAAATAGAAAAAAAATAAATCAAATTAAAAAAAATATTAAAATTTTGTTTACTATTGTGAAGTTCAAACATTGCAATTTAAAACCAAAAGAAATAAAAGAGAGAAAAAAAAATCAGGCTTACTTCATAATTTTTTAAAAACTAATGTTCACCTAGTTCACCAAATGTGTATATATATATATGTATATATATATGTATAAAAAGGAAGGAAAAATAAAATGAATAAAATAAAATCAGGGTTTCTTCACCATATATATATATATATATATAACATTGGTATTATATAAATATATATATATATATATATATATATATATATATATATATATATATATATATATATATATATATATATATATATATATATATATATATATATGCTATCCTGAAGTTCAAACATTGGTATTTAAAAAAATAAAATAAAGAAAGGAAAATGAATAAAAATAATGAATTGATATTATTATAAATTAAATATAATTTTTTAAATGGTTTTAAAAAAGAAGAAATTGAAGAAACCAAAGAAAAAAAAATCTGGTTTAGTTCACCAAATATTGATTGTTTTTACAATTCTGAGGTTCAAACATTTTTTTAAAAGAAATAAAATATAGAAATGCAAAAATATATATTTTTAAAATATTAATATCAGGGTTATTTCACCAAATACTGTTTTTGTTTACTATTCTGAAGCTTAAACATTGGTGTTTAAATGTTAAAACAAAAAAGAAAAATTAAGAAAAATTAAAAAATATAATAATCTGGGCTACTTTACCAAGTATTTTTACCTATTCTTAGGTTCAAACCTTTTATGAAAAACTGCTTTAAATGAAACCATTTTGATTTGCTATTTAATATTTAAAAATACATTTAATGCAAATACTTACATGATTTATTACTTATCATAATTCATTTATCTATTTAAATGCAGTATAATCAATCACACATTCAAATTTGACAAATAAATTACTTCCAAAAGAAAATGTAATTGTTAATGTATTAAATAAAAAAATAATTTTATCTTTAAATCATTTAGAAAAATGTTAAATTATGAATAGACTTAACTTATATTAGAAATATACCTGCTATAAAAATAAAAAATTGTATGCTATTTTTAAAAATATAGTAGAAGTCAAAATAATTAGCCCTCCAGTGCTTTTTCTTTCCTTTTTCAAATATTTCCCAAATGATGTTTGACAGAGTAAAGACATTTTCACAGTATTTCCTATAATATTTTTTCTTCTGAAAAAAAGTCTCTTGTTTGTTTTATTTCGGCTAGAATAAAAAGAAGTTTTTAATATTTTTAAGTGATTAATTTGAATAATTCTAACTTTAACTGTATATACTGTATAGCCCAATTATAACACGTTTTCAGTTGATTCAGGAAGAAAAAAAAACATTTAGGTATTTACGTTTTTCATGCCATTAGAAGAATAGAGATCGCTGGGAAATTCTCTGAAAAGATGGATGAGTCGCATACAAATTCTGAGGGTCTTTTCACTGGACAATCATCTGAGAATCAGGAGACTTATGCAAAAGTCCCCAATTGATGTCACTTGCAGAGAACAGAAAAACATCTCTACTAACTCTCTTCTCCCACTCATTATAAACAGAGAGATGGACCAAACATCTCTCTTTCAAAGCTGAAGACTGAAGTGTTTTAGGAGCTTCAGCCTTGCGAGACAGATGGAGTGAGTGATTTAAGAAAGTTGCTGATGACATGCTGCGTTTCTCCACAAAAACAACTCCAAAACACCATCAGAGCTCCTACATCTGCTCCGTTCACATTACAACATCCAACAACAAAACTCTACATATTCCTAAGAGCTTTTATTTGCGATTTGCTTTCATTGCACAATATTCTTTCCTGGCTTACGTAAAGATCTCTTTAAGTTTGTTTGTTAGAACGTTGATTTCTTTTTTTATTTTTTTTATTTATGCAGATCTGACGTCAAGATGTTTGTGTATATTAAGAACAATAGAAGTGACTGAGTGAGAGATGCATTGTGGGATTAAACATAAGCAGATGGTTCATATGGTATGGATGATCATAAGAACGGATGAAGATATGCATGCAGAGAGTGCGAAAAAGTTTCTCCTGTGATTATTCATATTCATGAAATATTCATATCTTGATTATTTACAAAAATAGACTCGATTTGATGACATATTAAAAGACTCAATTTGAGGATCACAGTGCAGCCCAAATATACCAATTATTGAAATATTTATTTTTAATTTTTTATTATTATATAAATTATTTGTTATATGCTGAATGATGATCAAATATACTTCACTGGTTCAACGTTTCATTTTTATCTAAAATTATTAGAAACAATAGGGTAGAAACTGCCCTAAAATGTTAATTTTAGGTTAGATTTAGATTGTGATGTCGGGTGACCAAAATGCAATGTCTAGTCAGGGTCTAAGGACAACGTTATTTTGACATGTAATAACGATGTCAAATGACCTTGGTTTTTGTTTGATTTTAGGTTGTGTTGGAAAGTAATCCAAAATCCAAAGTCAAGCCAACATCTTAAACCAACGTCTTTTTGATGTCGAATCCTAACATTTATTCATCAGTTATTGCAACTAAATTCAATGTCTGATAGACGTCATAGTGGTAACATTCACACATCGACAAGCCGTAACATCATTAGATGTTGATGTTTGGTTGATTTTAAGTTGTGTTGGAAAGCGACCAAAATCCAACGTCTAGCCAACATCATATACCATCGTCATAATGACGACAAATACTGACATATATTCATCAGGGATGGTAACCCAAGTCCAACATCTGATAGACGTCATAGTGGTAACGTCCATACAATGTCAAGCTTTAACATAATTAGATGATGATATTTGGTTGATTTTAGGTTGTGTTGGAAATTGATTAAAATCCAATGTCAAGCCAACATCATAAACCAACAACATATTGATGTAAAATACTGACATTTCTTCGTCAGGTATGGCAACCCAAATTCAATGTCTAATAGACGTCATAGTGGTAACATCCGCACAATGTCAAGCTGTAACATATATAGGAGTTGATATTTGGTTGATTTTAGGTTGAGTTGGAAAGCCACCAAAATCCACCGTCGAGCCAACATCTTAAACCAACGTCATATTGACGTCAAATACTGACATTTATTCATCAGGTTTGGCAACCAAAATCCAATGTCTGATAGACATCATAGTGGTAACGTCCACACAACGCCAAGCTGTAACATCATTAGATATTAATATTTGGTTGATTTTAGGTTGTGTTGGAAGGTGACAAAAATTTAATGTTGAGCCAACATCCTAAACCAACATCATATTGACATCAAATACTGACATTTATTCATCAGGTATGGCAACCCAAATCCAATGTCTAATAGACTTCATAGTGGTAACGTCTGCACAATGTCAAGCTGTAAAATCAATGGGTGTTGATATTTGGTTGATTTTAGGTTGCGTTGGAAAGCCACTAAAATCCACCATCGAGCCAACATCTTAAACCAACATCATATTGACATCAAATACTGACATTTATTCATCAGGTATGGCAACCCAAATCCAATGTCTGATAGACGTCATAGTGGTAACATCCACACAATGCCAAGCTGTAACATCATTAGAAGTTGATATTTGGTTGATTTTAGTTTGTGTTGGAAAGTGACCAAAATCCAACATCGAGCCAACATCTTAAACCAACGTCATATTGACATTGATTTTTCAGGCTATGGCTTGTCAAATCCATTGTCTGATAGACGTCATAGTGGTAATTTCCACACAACATTGGTGTACAATGTCAGTCTGACGTCATGTGCCTGATGGATTATTAATGCCTGAAAATTTTTTAGTAAACACTGCAAAAACAGTTTGTAAATAATTGTTCAATTTTAGCCCATACAGTACCTCTCTTAATCATACTTATTATTTATTTTTATATTTGTACAACTTCGACCCATACTGTCCCGTCTCTTAATCTAATAACTCTTAATAAACGAAATCATAATTTAAAAAAACTTATCTCTGTGTAATATTAAAATTAGTTTCATGATCTGAAACTGAAAAAAACAACTTAATATACAAAAACTTTTAAATACTAAACTCCTTTTCACAGCTCTGCAAATAAATAAATGCATTTGTTTTTCTATAATTGCATATAAGTTCTATATCATCCAACAGCTTCCATGGCATTGTCAAAAATTCAATCTTAAAAGCATTTCCATCATAAAAGATGGAACGAACAAAGAAATATATAAAGAAACGAAGACCAAAATACAAAAACATTTAATCAGAAAAGAGATTTTACCTTCTGTACAGTAAAAGTCCTGATTACATATTCTGCCAACGGCTCCGTTTCAATCAGTGTGACTTTGATATCTCCATACACCTCGGTCTCGTCAGGCCAGTAGCGAACGCACTTCACCTTCATGGACACACAAAGACCCACACGTACACATTAAAACACAACACCTGCATGTCAATACACCTCAGTATTGCTCTATTTTACAGCAGGCCTAAGTCAAATTGGCATTTGCGGAAACAGTATTATCAAACAAGTCCCTGATGACATTCTGAAAGCTCAGAGAGGTGTAATTGGCCACCTGTCAGACTGGATGTTTTCTCTGAATGAACAACCCCTGTGGTCCGAGTTCACTGGAGCCAATCATTGAACATCGCTCAATTATACTCATCGTGACATTAAACTGCTCTCGTCGGGATATTCTCAAAGACACATTACCTAATTTGATCATGTCCTTCAAAATCACCCACTCACTCATTTAAAGTTTCCCTTGAATGTAAGGAAACTTTATAGCATGCTGGAATCTACATTAATTTGATGAGTGAATCTCATAAAGCTGCAGTGTAATAAATATGTTAATTAACACTTTCCGTATTTTGTGATTCACAAGTGTTTTCCGTTTATTTACGGTTGTGAATTGCATTATGGGATGTTGATCTCTGTTCAGTTAACTTTTAATGTTAACAATTAAACCAGACTTTTTAACAGAGTGACTTTTTTTTGACATTTTATTAATTTGGAATAATAGAATGGGTAAGAAATGATGTAGATGTAAAAAAATATTTCTGTAAAATAACAGAAAATGCAGTTTATTACAAGGTTTTCTCCAGCCTCCGGTGCCTAGACTGCAGCTTTGCACAAGACGTTTGGAGAAACGGTCGTGCCCAACTGAGCCTGGTTTCTCTTGAGGTTTTTCAATTCTTCACTTTCGCCAATTGGTGAAGTTTTTTCCCCGCCGCTGTCGCCACTGGCTTACATGGGTCGGGATCTGTAGAGCTGCGCATCGATGGATTTGCTCTTCAGTGTTTAGACTCTCAGCAGTGATTATTAATCCACACTGAACTAATCTAAACTGAACTGAACTTAAACACTGAAAACTGAACCACACTGTTTCAATTTACCATGATCTTCTATGTGAAGCTGCTTTGACACAATTTACAATGTAAAAGCGCTATACAAAATAAGTTAAATGGAATTGAGTTTTTGACAAACACCAACTCAGAAAATATATCACTTTAAACTATAAAAAATGTTAAATATTTTTACATTTCAAGGTTAAATGTTGTTGTAAGAAAGATCAAGGTCTCATAATGCAATTCAAAAGCATGAAACTAAACAAAAATAAAAAGACAAATCATTAAACACGTAAAATTGCTAATATGCATATATTAAGGGACTGTTTTATAGAGGCAATAGGTTTTAGATAGGCACAATATAAATAAAAACGTATTATTAATATAATTATTATTAATATCCTGCATGTACTAGCCATTGTATTTTGACTAATTTCATATTTTTGTGTTTAAGTTTTTTTTTTAGGCATTTACTCTTGAACATATTTTAAGAGTTCACACTTAGCTGATGATTGATTATAAGCTTGGCATGCTGTCCAGGGAGAGAGCCCTGAGGTCATAAGATCCTCGAGCCCGGGGATCCTTTGCATTTGCAAGGTGAGAAGGGAGTTTGAGCTTAGGTAGATCTTGAGAACTCCCCTTCTGTAGTAGCTAACGAACAGATAGTGATGGCTCTTAAGAGAAAACTATTTACCAGAAGCATGTCTATAGTGCCAATTTAAATTAATCAATTAACTTAAGTTGCGTGTTTTTGAACGGTGAGAGGAAACCAGGGGGCCTGGGGGTAACACATGTGAGCATGGGGAGAATGTGTAATCTCTGCACAGAAATGTCGGTTGGCTTGGTAAGGACTAGAACCAGTGACGTTCTTGCTGTGAGGCAACAGTGCTAACCACTGGGCCACCGTGCCACCCATGTAAGGAGGAGGAATAGAGGTGGAAGTAGGGATTCTTCAAAGTAAAGATGTCTTAGGAATCGTCTGATTGGTGAATCATAAATTGAATAATGCAGGACCAGCTGCAAACAATCATAAGCACATGATCCTGTATTAGTTACTATTTTGGGGAATACCTCAAAACTGCAATGCATTACTTTACATAAGTTTTAAGTTACTTTTCCAACGCTGGTTAACAGTAAGTATGCAAGTGCTTTACACATACAGTTAAAGTCAAACTTATTAGCAATCCTAATTATACATACAATTTTAATTATTTTAAAAATATTCCCCAAGTGTTGCATAATGGAAATAATATTTTAACACATTTGTATACATTAAAAATAGTTTTAATGACTAGTTTCTAATAATTTAATATCTAATAATTTTGTTTTTGCCATGATGATGGTGCATCATATTTAATTTTTTTTTTTTGCAAGATACTAGTATTCAGCTTCAAAACTTAACTGGGTTAATATGTTCACTAGGCAAATTAGGGTCATAATATTGACCTTAATAACATTTAAATCTGCTTTTATTCCAGCTAAACTAAAACAACTAAGACTTTCCTTAGAAGAAAAAAATATATAGAACATACTGTAAAGATTTCATGTTAAATATCACTTAGGAACTATTTGAAAAAGAATAAAAATGTCACAGGAGGGCTAATCACTTTCCTAATAAATTCTCCTAAAAAAAAAAAAAAAAAAGTAAATATATGAGATTTCTCATGCAGCCAATTGTAAAGAATAGGCAAGATGCAATTGGGTTTTGGGGATCGAGATGACTTCAGTGGTTCAGAATCCATTTCTTGTGTTGAAAAAAATAACTTTCTTCATCATCCAATTTGAGCTTTAAACCTTTAAAGAACTTTAACTTTCACAAAGAGCTTCATAACCCTATATATGGAAGGTAATTTTGGAAAAAGCATACAGTAATAGGGGCACTAGTTGGCATAGAATGAAAGCAGATACAGCCGTTTCTTCTCTATTGTGTGCATGCATAAGACATTGAAAATAAATACTGAAATATTCTATGAAAAATAGTATCAGTTTGGATTTCATACTTTAAAAAAGATGATTCAGCAAAGTGTGTTTTTATGAGATTAAATGTGTATCAACCAGAGCAGCGCTTTTGTAAGTAACCCTTTTAATCCGGTAATATTTATTAAGGAATGAGATCATTAGAAGAAGCTCACCCTGCCCACTTCCACCAGGTTGGTTACCATGACGATACTGGCTGAATTCTCCTGCCAAATCATCCTCCAGAAATCCCTGACGGTCTCCTGCATGGGGCCTACAGGAGACAAGGAGCACCACATTTAGCAAACCTCCATCGGGATCACGCAACACTCACTAAACAACCCGAAATAAGATGCAACATTGCTTTATGGATTCACAGACAGTCCCTGAAGGAAAGATCATGGCAGGTCCACAGCAATTCATAATAGTGTGTACTAGGTTGCTTTTCTAATGGACAATGGTGGACTGATATAGATTAAGATAATAAATCAGCTTGGTGGACGACAGTACACTACAAGTAAAAGCTAAAGTTAAAATTAAAGTAGGCAGGAATTTAACACGTACTAAAACATGTAGTTATTTCAATTCATCACTTAATATCACTAAGTTTTTCCAAAGTGCTGTTTAACAAACATTTTTAAACATAACAGTTTTAATATCTAACTTCTAAAAATTTACTTATTTTGTCAATGTCTTGATGACAGTACATTATATTTTACTATATAGTATTCAGCTTAAAGGGCCCTATACAGCCGTGTAAAAAGGTGCAAGATGTGTATGGTGGGATTTGTTGCTATTTTCAGACCAGTGCAACTGTAATTTTCATGTTTTCCACCATGCTGTTTAAATAGCAATGCATTTGCACCACTTTGTGTACTCATAGGTGTTTTAGTCTAAAAGGGAGGTATGTTAAGCCGCATTGTTGGCACGCTGCTATTTTGAGGAACTGAAATAGACCACGCCATTGAGCAACTGAAAGCTGCTCCATAGTTATGCATCTCTGTGGGTCCAAAAGCTTACACATTGCTTATACACAGGATGTACAGCAATACACACAAATTTTTACATATGAAAAACATTAAAGGATTAAAATTATTATTATTTCCATCATAAACATAAAAAACACTGCCTCCATGTCTCATCCTACGAGTGCTTTTACAGTTTATTTATGACAATTTACATTTGCATGCATCACCATATGGGATTAGGATGTTTTTTTGCTTGTTTTTTTTACCCCACTTCATTATTATTATTTATTTTTTTTGTTTGCTTGAAATTAAAATTGAATTTAGAAATAGTTTTGAAAAAAATCTAATGGATGCCTTCAGTGGAGTGAGTTTCCACTGTTTCCTTATCCACTAAAGTAAAGGAGTAAAGTGTAAAAGTAAAGATAAAGTAAAGAGGCTGAATAGAGGAGTCTCATTCTTTATTCTCACGCTGCAGATGCTCTGTTTAACTGTTTTCTCACTATTGAAGCGTTCAGCTTTTACATCTACAAAGTCTGCCATGTACATAGAAAATGCCCCATGACACAACTGACTCTTAGAGGGAAAAGGAGATGAGACTCTGATTGGTTTAATTCAAGTTATGATGGAAACACACCCATAACTCATTAAGAGAATAAGCACAACCATGTTAGACCATGCGCCAGGGCGCAAACCATATGTTTCCATCCTTATAGTAGCAAAATTGAACTCAGACATGCCCTTAATGCTTTTGCGCCATGTGATTTAAGGCCCATGCACACCGGGATGCTTTTTGCTCGCATTTCTATCAATGTTTAACGCCTCGTGAGTAAATAAAGGCGCCATTTTTTATGAAACGCCTCATGCTCGTTTTTTGTTTTGTTTTGACGAGCCGCGTCAAAACCTTCTCCACCAACCAGAAGCACTTGGAGGCGCTCAAGCGCAAAACTTTCAATGCGAGCACACATTGATGAAGATGCCCAGAGGCGATATGAATGTGGAGCTGGTTATTGCACTGGTGAAGAATAATCATTTCTTCATCGCTAGAGCTGGAGCTGCTGCTTGAACCATCCATGCTTGTTCGGATCGCCAGTAACTTTAACAACAAGCGTGTCAACTTTGTCTTTTTCTTCTGTTACAAGCAGGTGTCACAAGCTTAAAGTTGTATAGTGCCATCTAACATCAAGGAGTAATTTTACATACTCTTCAGCTTGACGCCAGTGATTATCGCTTGGGTTTGAATCCAGATAAATGTCTCGAAAAATGCTGATGATAAACGCAAGCGAAAAGCGTCCCGGTATGTACGAGCCTTTAGACTTTGCTCTTAGATCACCAAAATAAAGCTTAGAGTGTCGTTTAAAGGCCTAACCAGGTTAATTAGGTTAACTATTGGATAACAGTGGTTTGTATAGCCAATCAAGCCAAGCAAACAATTTATTATATTAAATAAAGCTATAATATTTTGATATTTAAGAAATCATTTTAGAAAAAAAAAAAACTAAAATAAATTATAGTTTTTTATAGTATTTCTCATAATAAATACTGTAAATATGTCCTTGTTCTGTTAAACATCACCTAAAATTTCACAGGGTGGCTAATTAAATAACATTATATTTCTTGATTGGTAAGATAAAATTTTTTATTATGTTTATTTTAATGCAGACACAAACTTATACAGTGAATAACGTTAGTATTGTGAAATTGCAAAGCTATAAAGTGTACATGTTGCTGCAAAACATTACTACAGTTGCTACATTTAGCATTTAAAAGCTAGTACATTCTAATTAATTACACTTGCAAGACAGGTTGTTTACATCTTCTAGTTTTGTTGTTTGTTCATTAATTACCTTAGAAAAAAGTTAGTAATATGAAATTGTAAATATATCAAGTGTGCATGATACCACAACACTAGTATAGTTGCTGCCTTTAGCATATAAAAGCAAGTACATTCTAATTAATTACACTTGCAAGATAGACCTGTAGACTGTGTTTACGTCTCTTAGTTTTGTTGATTAGGTTTGTTTATTAATACCTTAAAAAAAAGTTAGTAATATGAAATTGTAAATATATGAAGTGTGCATGATACCACAACACTGGTATAGTTGCTACCTTTAGCATATAAAAGCTAGTACATTCTAATTAATTACACTTGCAAGATAAATGTGTAGACCATGTTCACGTCTCTTAGATGATGTATTTTGTTAATTACCTTGCGTTGCTATGTAGTGTCTTGGTCTGTGGTAGCCCTGGGAAACAAAATAAAAAAAGAAAGGTGGAAATTATTCAAATGAAACACATTTTTATACCTGCACTATCCAGTGCACTTAAAACACACTTTGTTTGAATCTAATTCAGCCCTCAATGAGACATCGTAATTAAACCTTTCTGACTCCATGGCTTCATTAGCATTTTAACCACTGCGAAACAAATTGGTGACCAATGTAGCCTTGCTCCTGTCAAGCTCTGAAAGCGCCGCTGTGGTTTACGACCGATTCTGTGGTACGACGGAGACCGTAATTGTTTTATTATCAGGACTGAGATTGGGTGGCCTGATTATAGCCGCTGTGGGCCAGAGAAGCATATCCGCACATGTTTACTCTCCATTTCGCAATGATCACAATCATATCGACTGTGTCATTATGGTGTTTAGATCAAGTTAGCGGATTTCGAAGCAGCCGGGGAAGCACTTTCTTTGGAGCAGTCATGAGCTGTGGACACGGAGCATTTGCTGGAGTGATTTGAAGAGCGTTTAAGTGCTGAAATCCACTGTATCCTTCATTTGTTGTAAGCGAGGATCTCAGGAGCGAAGCGCATAAATGTTGCATTAGTCTATTAAGCCCTTCTTTGACAGCAAAGAGTGAAGTTGTTCTGACATTTGGAGTTGGTTATGCAACACACAGACTTTAAAAGTCATAAATATTATGTTCAGACTTGGAGATCATTATTTCTTTAGCATTATGTGTGAAGCTTGTTTGATGTTTTAGTCAACATGAATGGGAAAATAACAAACATTTTGGAAAGAAAAGACAGAATTTATTTGATCATAACTACTCAGTAAAACAAATAAATGTTTTGTTCTTTAAGATGTAATTAATTCCTTCAGAAATTGTTTAAACATGTTGATTTGCCGCTCAAGAAATGTATTATTATCATTAATACTTTTTAAACATTGTCATTAGGGTTGTAACAATATACCGGTATGATGGTCTACCACGATTTGAACGTGCACGATTATCATACCATGAACAATTGCATATCAACGGTTTTAACCCTTAAAGACCGAGACAGCCGCCCGCGGCTAAAAATAAGTATTGCTCTTAAATGTTTAATAACTTTTGATCCGCTGATCCGATTCATACAATTGAAAGATTGGCATAAAGAAGAGAATCTCAGCTTTCCAGTGCTGTATCACATAACATTCGCGGACTTTCAGAGAATCATTGCGGTTACGTCATCAAAATTTGACAACGCTGATTTGACAAAGAAACGCTTGTCACTGTGTCTCCGGACAAATCAGACATGATACATTGATGCATTGTCCCTCCTCCATGCCCAGATTGGTTCAAACTCGCTATATCACAACCAATAAGCATAGGTTTCACTTTTGTTTGTGGACCAACACTGAGCTTTTTGAACAACACGGAATGAGAGATAGGCATACATTTCTGCGCGGCTAAATAAAACGCAAAAAAAAAAAGTTTTGCGTGAAATAATTCTCATACTAAGTACTTTTGCATGCACAGCAGCACAGAAACATGACAAAACAGTGACACAGCAAAGACGAACTGCTGCTCTTGCTGTTTTCAAAAGACGCAAATGAAGGTGCAGCTGTTTGTCTGCATTGCATACAACCACATCCAAATCCATATCCACAGACAACCATATCCATGCTGGCACATAAAACCTAAGGATGTTCCATATTGAATCTAGTTTCGTTATGTAACTATTTATAGTATAGTAAATATTTATATCAATTTTTTTACTGAGGATTTGCACCATGTTTATTTGGACTTTGACACATTATTTATTATTTTCTTATTTTTTTATTTGTTCATTGTACAAGTGGACACATTCTCTCACCTCAGCGGTCAAGATTAAGTCCTGAAAATCTCAACATGCTTACATTTCTTCATCACAACCTAGACTGAAAAAAACAACGCTTTAAATACATGTTTACAGCCATAAACTTGGTATTGCACTTTTGGTCTCCCATTTATCCTGCTTATAAGGAAGGACAGTTTAAGTTTATTTTTGTCTAATCTTAAAAGACCTTGCTTGTTTATTCCTTCTAATTTAATTTATTAAAATGGGAGATTTTTCAGTTTATTTTTATAAAAGACTTCTATAGTTCTATTAAAATGGTTCTTTCAAAAGTTTGTTGAAATAAACCTTTGTTCAGTCAGAAAACGTGTTCTTATTCTTTTCAGGGTCTTTGCTATGAGAATTACTATTTAATACCGTATACCGCGAAACCATCAAACCGTGGTATTGTTTTAGACGATTATCATACCGTAAAAAATTCATACCGTTACAACCCTAATTGTCATATTTTTAAAGATTACTTTTGATTAATATATGTGTTATGTGGTAATATAATTTTGCGTGTGTCTCTCTCTCTCTTTCTCTCCTTCTGTCTTGCACACATGTACACCTGTTCTCTCTGTCTCTTTCGTCTCTCTTTTGATTTTACAGGTTCAACCCCCTTCGAATTGTTATTGGCTGTAGGATCAGTCAATCATCATTATCTCCGGTGATGTGGCGGCTTCTGTGGCCAATCTGAGTGGTCGCCAGGTTTTTAAAAAGACGACGAGTGGGACGCCAGACAGAGGCTTATGCGTTACTGTTTTATTCTTTGTTTTAATCTGCCCCCCGTTATCTCTTTTGTTTTTGATAATTAATATACTTAATATTGCTTTGCCAAAGTTGTTATTGCCAACTTGTTTATTTTCATAAATTTTCTTTTTATTCTCCATTTGAGATTTTTGCTGATATTCTTTGTTTTCCCCAGGGGTATTTGAAAAGGAAGATGTCACATGACCTACATCCTAACATCACCTAGCGAACCTGTGTATAGATAAAGGTTTAGAAGTCACCACTGGCTTTGTATTTTTCTGTTTGGTTAAGTTTAGAGTAGGTAAGTTAGGGCATGTAGACTTGCTTTCGACTATTTTGTTTTCAGTTAGGTAAGGATTATACTGAGTTAGTTAAATTATTATTATTTTTTATTCTTTTATTTTGTTATTTTGTTATTCTAAATTGTGTAATTTATCTGTTGTGTCATTTGTTGATATCTATATTCTTCTTCTTTATTATTCAAAGTTCAAAACAAGAGAATTAATATATATATATATATATATATATATATATATATACATATACATACACACACACACACACACACACACACACACACATATATATATATATCATATATATATATATATTCTCGCAGGGGGACCAAGCACCACAGATTTTTTTTAATGTGATAGTAATGTTTTCATTTATTTATTTATTATATTTTTTGAGGGTATGACTGATGTCGACTAGTAGCACTGCACAGATCTCGTGGTTTGACCTGAAACATGTCTGAAACAAGCTTTACACAAAAAAGGTGGTTCACTGACTGAAACTGCTCTAGATTATTTAAAGTAAATTTTTAATGTATTATTTTTGTATTAGTGTTAAAGATTTACATGAACTGTAAATTTAAATTTTTTAAATATTTATTCAAGTTAGATCACTCCATGCAAATACCCTAGAGCAGATGCTAGCCAATCACATTTAAGCAACTCTAGAAAAGTAATGTGATTGGCTGATAACCAAGATGAGCAGTAACTGCAAAAAATGCCTGAAAATCTTAAGTTGTTCAACCCCTAATATATTTATTAGGGGTTGAACGACTCAAGCTATATTACTAATAATGTAAATAATAACTATTATTATTAATAAGAGCTGGTCTCTGTATAAAAATGCATGGATTTTGCCATTATCCTCAGCTCAAAAAGCAACATTGTCAAGTTAGAAGCAAACATGTGATACTCACATCTATATAGTTGGCGTTGATGTAGTCGGAGTGTGGGTCTCCCTCCAGCGGCTGCAGTCGGACACGAGTGTGATCGTCTGTGGGGTCAAATATTCACAGAAGAGCCGGTCTAAAGTTACACATACACTTTAAAGGGGAGCTATACATGCATGAGCTGTCCAGGAAACACAATTGTTGTACTGTATGCACAACATCAGTTGACAAGTAGGAAGAAGTGTGTGAAAACTAACTTTGTATACACATATGGAGATTTTGTCATTTTCTCCTGGTTCAAAATGGACACCGATTTTTGTGTAAAGTCAGATTTTTGTGTAAAGTTTAATTTGATGCATCATTCTCTTGTAGTAAACTAACAATTAGAGGGGTGTGGCTAAGAATATTGTTGAATATTATTGAGTATTGGAGGTTTAGTCATATTTTTACCTGGTTCAATATACATATATTGATGGATATACATTTTTTTTTAAGTCTGTATGAACCGGAAGTTGCTAAGACTTTTATTTTGGTATTTTAATTTACTTCCAACTAAAACAAAATATTGAGTAGTGGGTGGAGCTTTTTTATGCATCTTTCTCTTCTAGCAAACTAACAGTAAGAGGGCGTGGCTAAGAATATTGGGGATGAAGTGGCAAACTGATGTCACTCCAAATGCAGAAACGACAGGCTTCGATTAAGGATTACCAAATAATTGTACTTTTTATAGTGGATTAACATGACAGATTAGAAGAGAATAACAACATGGACTAGATTTCCTAGTACTGAGTTGCAGCTAGAAGGGCATCTGCTGTGTAAAACATATGCTGGAATAGTTTGTGGTTTATTCCGGTGATTGGTCAGATTGGTAGCAGTGATGAGTGTGGGCAGTGCTGAGAGCAGAGTGCTCGATGGAGTAAGTGTCAAGTCCCATGAAGGGACTCCACATGGAACCAATTGCCTCTGAGTGAGTGAGTTTGAGCTACTTGTTCATTAAGATAGCGTTCAGAAAAAACAAAACACCAGCGAAGAAAGAGGAGGAACATAAAAACCTGCTGTCAGCTAGCGTTTCTGAAGTGTTATTGCAGAGCAACACAAACAGCATGCAGAAGTATAAATGCATGACTACATGCAGGGCAGGCGCCGTGGGTCATGCAGATCGCTCGATGCAGAGCTATAAACCAGCCGTAAGCTGAAGGAAAATTAATAAATGCAAAAACATAGACTATTAAAATAATCATTTAAGAGTTCACACTTAGCTGATGATTGATTATAAGCATGTTTGGCATGCTGTCCCGGGAGTGAGCCTTGAGCTCATAAGATCCTTGAGCACGGGGCTCCCTCCCATTGCAGGGCTCAGGTAGATTTCGAAACTCCCCTGCTGTAGTAGCTAATGAACAGATAGGGATTGTTCTTAAGATACTGCTTCTTACTAGGAGCATGTATATAATGCTGATTTGAATTAGTCAATTAACTTAAGTTGTGTGTTTTTGGATGGTGGGAGGAGATCGGGGGCCCCATGGGAAACCCACGTGAGCATGGGGAGAATGTGTAAACTCAGCACAGAAACATCTGCTGGCTTGGTAAGTACTAGAATCAGTGGCGTTCTTGCTGTGAGGAAACAGTGCTAATCACTGGGCCCCCATGCCACCCATCTAGTAAAGGAGGAGGAGTAGGAGTGGAAGTGGGGATTCTTCAAAATTAAGATGGCTGTGATATAGAACTTAGGGTATTTATAGTAACTTGGGTATCGTCTGATTGGTGAATCATGAATTGGCTAATGCAGGACCAGCTGTGGTCAATCATAAGCACGTAATCCTCTCGAAATTAGTTTATAAATAAACTTCACTTATAAATGTAAATTTCACACAGACTTTAACACGTTCATATTCTGCATTATTCAGATTTCAGTTCAAAACCACAAATCAACATTGAGTATTTGATATATGATTTTTCAGGGAACAACACAAAATCTTGTGTCATTTACAGTACTAACAAAGTTGTTGCTTTAATTGTGTGCTTTGAGAAGGCATGCAACCTCAGTGAAACTTCCATCATAAGACAATTACAATCTTCTGTTGTTAGTTTGTTAGTGTTTTTTATTTTAATTTCCATAATGATGGGGAACACTTTTCTAAAAAAGAAAAAGAAAGAAAACTTGTTGTTTCTAAGCAACTCAAGTCTGGGTGCCCTGAGTTTAACCCTGCACTCTTTGAATTGATGACAAGAATTGGACCATTTTCCCATTCAAAGAAGTGGATGTACAGTACAGTTAGCCGGTGATGTAATTGATTTAATTATCGCAGCTCCGCCAATCTTCGTCTTGTCTTCGATATAAACACTTGACCTGCTAATGTTTAGCACAGGCACCACGTCTTTCCACTCTTGAAAGGTGAAGCTGCGTATCTTGGCAATTACCATGACACTTCAGGAAAAAGGGGAAGAGGGTGGAAGCGGAAAGCGAGGAGGGGTAAAGGAAAGGTCTGACATGAGCTCCGCAAACTCGTGTGGCGTTCAGCTTTGATCACATGGAGAATGCAAATGCGCTGTTCAGGCATGTCGACTCTAAGCCAACGGATGTTCTCTGATGGCAGGCAGATCCGCAGAATCCCTCCTGATTTCTCGGGTTCTTTTCAATCTGAGGAGTAGCGGGTCCATGTCTTGAGCTGTAAGCGGGTCGTGAAGGTTGTTTACTTTCACACAGCCCCTCCTTTCCTGTCCGAACCTGCCGTGTTTCTTATTCTGTCGGCTCCTGATTCACTAACTTACATTTTCTAACTTCAGACTTTTTATTTGCTGCTTCTCTCTATCTTGCTCGCCTCACAAACATCTCAGCTGTCTCTCGCAGGCGCTTTCGTCTGTCTGCTGACCTCTCTGCTCCCCGAAAGAGAACATGTGTGTGTGTGAGAGAGGGAAATGGAGGGATGCGGAAAGAGAGCGAGAGAAAGAGATGGGGCTAATTAGACGCCACTGAGTCAGTTGTCATAACAGCGCGCGCTCGGCAGGGTTCCTCTCCGCAGTGAGGGGCCAGACACAAAGCTCTAATTGGGAGAGAATGATCGGACTACAGACAAGCGGAGCGGTGCATGGGTACAGTAGTTCTGAGTCAGCCTGCAAAACTATCTAGATGTCTGGATGATCACCGGTGTGAGACACGTTACAGTGACGTATGATGATAAGTTGTGTGTGCGCGTCATTTTAACCACAGATGGGAGTCAATAATATTTTAATCATTAAGCTAAATGTGCAACAGGAGATCTTAGAATATGTTAAAGTTAGCATGATAGCACTGAAAGTCCACCCTGCAAATCCAGAACGCATGAACACAAACAAGACAACATTGCAATCTACAAATACACAATGTAATATTATCCACTGAGAAATCTTTATAGTACAATTACTAATTACAATACTACATTTTAAAAAAATGTAGGATGTTGATGTGTTCCACAGCCATACCACCCTGTAGTTCAACAATGGTTACTCACTGAAGCTAAGCAGGGCTGAGCCTGGTCAGTACCTGGATGCGAGACCACATGGGAAAACTAGGTTGCATAGAACATGCAAACTCCACACAATAATTCCAACTGACTCAGCCGGGACTTGAACCAGCGACCTTCTTGCCTTCTTGAGGTGACAGTGCTAACCACTGAGCCACCGTGTCACCCACATTCTTACATTACAATTAAAATCATAAAGAGCGAAGGTGTTGAGTATACGGTGTACAGTACAGTGGTCAAACAAATACACATAGATAACCTGCAGTTATACAAACTGTACTTCAAAAAAAGGATATTTATATGATATAATATATAATGTAAAAGGAATGTATAAGGGTATTTGATGGGCGCAAGCTTAACCTTCAAAACTTGTATATCTCGTCTTACACCAATCAAGACCTCTCTCACTCAGACCATGACCTGTTCATGCTTCTTCCCTCAGGCAGATGCTACTGATCTCTATGCACTAAAACATCTAGGCATTTTTTTTTCCTCAGGCCATATCCAACTTCAAAAGCTAGCACATCAGTTGCTACCTGCTTTTCATGTTCATAAACAAGATGGTGCTCTTATTGTGTTTATGGTTTCTCTACCCTAAAAAGAGCATCTATGCAAATACATATTTCATTTCTAATTTATGTAATTAAAACAGTCAACAATGCACATAAATTTTAAACTACACACACAGGCCACTTTATTAGGTACACCTGTCCAATTGCTCCTTAACGCAAATCTCTAATCAGCCAATCACATGGCAGCAACACAATGCATTTAGGTATGTAGACATGGTCAAGACGATCTGCTGCAGTTAAATCTGAGCATCAGAATGGGGATGAAAGATGATTTAAGTGACTTTGAATGGGGCACGTTTGTTGGTGCCAGACAGGCTGGTGTGAGTATTTCAGAAGCTGCTGATCCACTGGGGTTTTCAAGCACAATCATCTCTAGGGTTTACAGAGTATGGTCTGAAAAAAGAAAATATCCAGTGAGCTGTCAGCTAAGAACAGGAAACTAAGGCTACAATTCGGACAGGCTAACCAAAATTGGACGATGGAAGATTGGAAAAACGTTGCCTGGTCTTATAAGTCTCCCTTTCTGCTATGAAATTCGGATTGTAGGGTCAGAATTTGGCGTCAGCAACATGAAAGTATAGATCTATCCTGCCTTGTATCAACGGTTCAGGCTGCTGCTGGTGGTGTAATGGTGTGGGTGGATATCATCTTGGGACACTTTGGGCTCATTAGTACCAATTGAGCATTGTGTCATTGCCACAGCCTACCTGCCTAGCCTACCTGCCAGCCGATGTCCATCACAGTGTACCCATCTACTTATGGCTACTTGTAGCAGGATAACGCGCCATATGATAAAGTGGCAATCATCTCAGACTGGTTTCTAGTACATGACAATGAGTTCACTGTACTCAAATGGCCTCCACAATCACCAGCTCTCAATTCAATAGAGCACTTTTGGGATTAGGTGAAACCGGAGATTCGCTTCATAGATGTGCAGCCGACAAATCTGCAGCAACTGCATGATGCTATCATGTCAATATGGACCGAAATCTCTGAAAAATATTTCCAGTACCTAGTTGAATCTATGCCACGAAGAATTAA